CTGCAGCCCCTTTTTCCTCCTTCCCCTCAGCGTAACTGCAGAAAAAAAGGAAGGGCAGGCTGGGACACTATCTCGGCTTCCACGCAGACATGCTGGAAGGGAGGGAGATACAAAGGATAGCTGAGCAGACAGCCGCAAACACTTAGGAGGCGCGGGACCTCCCTGTAGATGGCCTTGGCTTCCTCTGAGTCCCCTGGGAGTCCTACAGCTGTGCCTGCCATCCAGATGGGAAAACGTGCATGCATGCATGTGAGAGTCTCTAAGGAAATACCTGGGGAGGGCTCCTCAGCTGGATATTCCAGCAAACGGGATTATCTAAGTCAAGGTTAGAACAGTATGTGTCAGTCTGTACGTGCATGTGTGTGTATACATGGACAGACAGATACGTATGTACATGAGAGAACTTTCTCACTACACTGCATGCATGCCTCTGCAGCACACAGTGATGGAGTCAGACTGCAGCACAGAGCGTAGTATGAAAGTCACACCCATTCTCCACAAAGACAAGTGCAATTCACTGAAGTCAAGAAGTTTCATTTCAAAATAAACAAGACCTAATACTGGGGTCCACTGTGCCGAAGGAAAATTGTTTTTTCTGACCCTGAAGATATGAATATATAAGTTTAGGATGTATCTCCTTTGACAGGAGGTTCTTGTCCACTACACATTTTACTCATGTTTGAAATTAAGTAAAAGCACCACATGCAGGACAAGACAAACACAAATGCTATGAAGGAGAGACCTTTCACTGACTGTTCTATATCCATAGCCAAAGACCTACTTCTTTAAGGAAACAAACAGGACAGTAGTTGCACAGTAAAGGTTTAAACCACAGTAACAACAGTTTTAAGGTACATTTTCCAATAGATTTCAACATTGTTCAATTTGCAGACCTGTAAAAAAAATCCAGTTATGCAGTGAAGCTGGGCAGACAGATGAGGCCTACTCAGCCAAAGACCTGCTTTTCATATTTACTTTTCAGGGAACATACAGAGGGCAACAGATGGCACAAGCCTGCAAATATCAGGCTGAAAAGGTCACTGCAGTTACACTAACTACTGTGGTGTTCTCTAAGATCCACCCGCAGTTCCCAAGGAATCCAACTGGAGTTGGACCAGGCCTGAGCATTAGCTAACTTTACACGATATCTGCAGCATCAAATTCCATGTACTTTTGACAGAAACCTGCACTGAACAGCTCCAACACCAACCTCTGAGCCATCAGTGCCCAGTCCAAACCTTCACGCTCCTACACTGCATAAGCAGGTAGGCTTTTTCATCCCAAGAAGTCCTTAATGAAATCTCACAAGTTTCACACACGTGGCCTGCGACATCTGCAGAAGTTAAAATACATGAGCGTCTCCAAGATAACACGGAATGCTGATAAAGACAAAGCCAGCCTATGTCACTGCGCAGCAACCACCAGAGCCCTGCAGATAGAGTAATCCCAGTGCACACAGCTCCACAAATACAATGAAAGAGTATCTCTATCACAGACATCCGTCCTGAGGAGGCCGGACAGCAGTTAAGAAAATAAAGAACTGAATTGAAGCCTGTATGCTGCTGTCTAGCACTAGTTACATTTGTACCACCCATTCCCTGGGGAAAATGACACAGAATGCAAACAGGCCTTGTTGTTCAATTATTCAAGTATTAAGAGATTCACAGAAAGACATCTGAGAAACATAACATTTTAATAGATGAAATAAATACTCCAGTACATGCAAGATAAAAACTGACATTGGAAAAAAAAAAAATTAAAAATCACTTCTGTTATAGTGTAATTTTTTTGTTTGTTTGTTTAAACACTCACAGTAGCTTTTCCCCCAGTTTGGAAATCAACACATGGAAAACATAATCACAACCTCCAGTCCTTCCACTCCTACACACCAAATGCACTTCTAACCTAACACTTGATGCAAAATTTAAAAAAAGTCATACAAAACAAAAACAAACAAAATAGTAGCTACATCCATCATCTACATGGTGGTGTTTTCTTCTTTTCATTTTTAAAACGAATGAGAACTGAGGTAACCTTTTTCCTGCACAACCAAACAGTAAAATTTAGAAGGGAAATTTCGGAAGACAAGACAAGACAAACTTTAAAAACCGCACCCAGCGCGATTAAAGCTATTTTCTTTTCCTTTTTTTTTTTTCTTTTTTTTTTTTTTGTTAGTTCAGATACCCCCACCTCCCCAAATATAAAACTTTTAAACAGTTGCTATTACCATCTGTGTGAAGATCTGGTTGAATAAAGGAACATTTATCTGCAGGTACTTGCTCAAAATAAAAAGAAGCCCAAACTGGCTACCTTTGTTAGTACGTATAATTTGAATATACTGTTCTGCTTCTTCACCACGTGAAATCAAAGGATTGGGCCCATCCAAGCGAATTCTTTGGTATACAAAACAGGGGTGAGGAGGTGGGATATTATTTTCCTTTAGCAATGACTGAGATCTAAACAGAAGGTGTGGGGGTTAATTCACAGAATTGGAGTTCACTGGCGGTAAAGTCCTGGGTGAAGATCTTTCTCTTAGTGCCTGAGATAACAGGTTGCAACCATCCGAGACGGCGCAAGCTGAGTTCCTCAACCTTTCCCTGTAATCGCTCATTTTGGTGCTACTTTCGGGGTGTTGGGCTATATCCCTGAGGCATTGGGTCAGGAGCACACAAGCAGAAACCACACTCATGGCTCCTCCTAGGATAGCAGTTTGCACAGCTTTGCCCTCCGGATTGATGGTGGCAGCTTTACCCAAAAACTGGGGCTCAGTGGCAAAGCCCACCAGAGCATAGACAGACTGCACCAAAGGTCCACTGAACAAGACGCAGCGGTTCCTGGTCAGCTCGCTGGGTGAAGTCTTGACCTCCTTGACACACGCCAAGAGGGCGGAGGCGCTGGTGCTCATACATTTGACACTGAGTTTGAACTGCTCCTTAGCAAATTTATCCTTGGATTTCTCACTGGCCAGCACACAGGCGTCTGTCAGGAATTTCAAGTTCTTGGACATGTTCTGGGAAACCTCCAGCAGGAGCTGAGGGCTCATATCTGCCAAAGGGGTGGTCTTCAAGACCCCGCAGCCATGCTCCACCTCGTGCCGACATCGCGTCACCTTGTAGCGATCCACCAAGCCGGGCATGGCAGGCTGGGCCCCTGGAGTCTCCACTGCAGCCAGATAGGCAGCGTGGGCAGAGCACTCGGTCAGGGAGACCACCAGCTCCCCCATCTCCATCAGGCTTTCCCCCACCTCCCCGAAGCGTCCCATATTGAGCTGGCTCTGGACGTCGTGGGTCAAGATGGAAAGTCCTTTGGTCCTGGCGATAATCGTGTCCCTGCACTTCTCAAAAGACTCGCCGAAGACAGACAAGCTCTCAGTGTTCACCGGCCTGGTCTCGCTCGACAGCAGAAGCAGATCGGCCACCAGTTGCATCTTGATCTTGCAGTGATCGCAGATAGAGATGAGCTTCTTCCTCTGCAGGGAGCTGCCGCTGGGGATGCCGCCGCCGGACACCTCGCTGCTGGACTTGCCAGAGCCGCCGCTAGCCATAGCGCCGGGGGGGGCCTCGCATGCCGCTCGCTACCCCACTGCCGCCGCCTCTGCCGCCGCCCGAGCAGTCCCGACTGAGCCCGGCAGGATCGCTCTGCCTTTTCCGCAACATCATTCCATTAATCGCCGGGAGGCAAGAAAAGGCTCTGGGCGCCGGGGCTGCCGTGCTGCGGGGGGGCGAGCTCCGCCGGGGCTCCCGCACCGCTCCGGCTCCAGGCTCCGCTCTACGGCTCTCCAGCGGCGGCTCTGCGCTGACCGGGAGCCCCCGGGCCGCGCTCCGGCATCGTGCGGCTTAGCAATACGTATATATATATATTTCTCCCCTCGTCTTTGCACTTCCCTCCCTTCCTCCGGCTGCGGGATCCTGCGCAAAGTTCCCTTTAGGAAACGGAATAGCCCGGAGGAGCGGAGCTAAAGCGGAGCTAGCGCGGGGCCGCAGCCCTGGGGGCCGCCCTCCCGCCGCCCGGGCGCTGCTCGCAGGGGCCGGAGGGGCGGCGGCTGCGCACCATGTGCCGCCCCCGGCGCGCCCGCCGCGGCCCCGCGCCGCCGGCTCGCAGGAAGCGCTGCGGAGGGTGTGGCCCGCCCGGGCCGGGAGGGGAGAGCGGGGATAGAGAGAGAGAGAAGGGACCGTGGGAGGGGGTTTGTTAAAAAAAAAAAAAAAAAGAGGGAGGGGAAAAAAAAAAAAAAGCCACGCAAAAGGCAAAATAAAAATAAAAAATTAAAAGAGCCACCGGATCCGGGCGCGGGGGAGGGGGGGCGGGATCCGCTCCCCTTCCTTCTGCCGCTGCCTCACTCCTTCCTGCCTCGGTCATTCACGCGGCCGCCCGCCGCCCGCCGCCGCTTCATGCCCGCCGCCCTGGGCCCGCTCGGCGCCGCCGCCCCGCCCCGGCCGGCCCCCGCCGCGCCGCCGCCGCTCCAACTTAGGCTCTTCCCGCAAACAAGGGCGGGGGCTCCGCGCTCCGACCGCGGATGCTGCATCCCGCCCGACCCCGCGCTCCTCCTGCCATGTTCCGCCGCCGATCGCCAAGTCCCGGGGAAGAAAAATAAAAATAAAACGAAAAGAGGTTCTTTTAAATTCCCTTCTCGGGCTCTCAGACAAACTATTGGGAAGAGGCGGCCGCGGCGGCGCTGCCAGCCAGACGCTGCACGGCTCTGACGGAGGCTCTCCCCCTCCCCGTTGCCTCCGCCGTAACCTCGCCGGAGCCTATCGCAATCTTTTGTGCGGTGTCACCGCCCTCCGTTTAAACGCTGCCCTCCCCCCCGCCGCCCCGCTCCCCGCCCGTCGCCTCCCGCTCCTCCCCGGCGGAGGGGGCAGCAGCGCCGTGCCGCGACGGCGCCGCCCGCGCCAGGCACCGGCCGACGGCAGCGCCGACCGCGACGGCCTCGAGGGCCGCCGCTCCGTATGGCGCCCCCTCGCGGCGCGCGGCGAGAGCGGAGGGCCGAAGTAAATAAATACAGCGCGTGGCGGAGAGCAGCCGTCGGGTGGGAGGAGGTGGGGATGGGAGCGGAGGGACGGGCATCTTCCGGTAGCAGCCGCGTTGTGAGGTGAGTTGGCCGTATGTGGCTCAGGTGCGCGGCCTGGGGGGGAGGGAGGGAAAGAGGGCGGGGGGGCAGCCGTGCTCTGGCTTCCTTTTCTTCCGTTTACTTTAAAAGTCTTATGTTTTGCTAGCCGTAATCGGTGGTATAAACATCGTTACGCTTTTATTTGCATATAAATATTGCCTTTAGCTGCTTGTAGCATGAAACGAGACTTAAACACGTTTTTTTTTTAACCATGGGAAATGAATTTGGTGTCCCTGTTCGAAGGTCGGCTGCCATTGGTTAGAGTGGAGCAGGGAGAATGTAGTCTTCCTGACGTTTACTTTGTGCATGGGAAGCCCTGAAAAAAGCACTTTCTTTGCCTGTTTCTGCTCTGGAGCGCACTGAGAGTTGCATTGATGTTAATGGGAGGGTGCTGGGCTCAGGGAGTCCGAGGCAGACAAGTAAATGCCATTAAATAATTAAGTGAAAACTACTAAGTATGCTGGAATGAGTTTTAGGAAGATGGGCTTAACATTCCCTGGAAGGAGTCCACGGGGAATGAATGTATCATTTGGTAAACGGTGGTGATGAGAATATTGATGTCACACACATGAGGCTCTCTGCTGTCGTGCAACATCCCCATCAAAATAACCCAAAAGAATGAGTCCATGTTGAATCCATATTTTGCATTTGTTACGCATCCTTCTGCGGCCAAATATCAATGCTCTTTCTCTCCTTTCATTCAGGCTTTCCAATTCTGGCAGTTGGTTACATGCATATAGCAGGCAGCATGCATCCGGAATATATTTGTCCCAGCTCATGTTTACACAAAGTCCTGCTATGTTCATACTGTTGCAGGGGTAGGAGTGACACTGCTGTGAATGGAAGTTAGACCTGCAGGCCAAAACCAGTGTCACCCTGGCACAAGGAGAGCCCACCTAATGGCATACTTTTTAAGATCTCCAAACAGGTACAAATAAGTACATTTCCTCACCCACTGCCTAGAGGAGTCCTTGGCCTTCTCTGCTCGCACTGAGCAGGAGGAACACAGTTCTGGGTGAGGTAGGGTTAACAGGATGCACGCTTTGTGGGGTGGAGGGGAGCCCTTACTGTAGAGCCAGGATGGATGGAAGGGCAGATAGGCAGCTGTGGGTGTGTTGAAAATGGGCAGTTCTCCACCCATCTCTCCTCGCAGTAACAGCATGAGGGAGATTCTGTTTACCTAAATCAGATTATAGTAGTTTAATGGAAGGTCACAATTTGGGCCTAAACCATTTTGGTTTGCTGCCAACAGCTCATTTTCAAAACTATAAATAGGAGTGATTTCAGAATACTCTGACAAATAAAAATCAGTGGGCAGCAGAAGCCAGCTGAATTGCATTGCAAAATATTTCCAGATATGTCCTTCAGTGAGGCAGTGAGAAATTATGTAGCATGAGGAATGCCTTTCATAAGAATATTAACCTAGTTTCTTTTAACGAGTAGTGACTACATTTAATGAGAGTTTGAGTATTTCATTTTAGAAACCTTTGGTCTCGTGCCTGGCTAGAAGAGGTGTTAAATGACCTAATAATCTTCTCCATTTTTAGATGCTGCTGCAGGAGTCTCCATATGGTTTGTGTCATTGCCCCAGGACAAAAGAGACATCCAGGATTTGGACAGAGTTTCTGCTGCTGTTCTTCCAAAGCCTCCATCCCAGCTGCTCACATCAGAAACAAAGCGAGGCCCTAACCCTTGGCAATTCCTAGCAGCAGAAAGGGCCACCAGAGCTAGCGGTTAGTAAGAAGTAACCACTTTAATATAAAGCAAATATTCCTCGAGCTTCTTTAATCTGTTCAAAGGATTGTTGTACTGCTTACCAGCCTTGGTATTAGCAAGGGGCAAAAGTGGTCATTACTGTAATTTGGTCAGCTGCTTGACTCCAGATTTGTCTTACCAGACGTCATTTTGCTCCAGTAGTAGCCTCAAGCGTTCTGTTCTTCTGTATATATGTAAATATATGATGAAGAGTGACCCAGCCATCTTATTTGGCTTGCATTTTGGAATTTAAAGAAATAGAAAATAGACAGAATCATAGAGGTTGGAAAGGACCCCTGGAGGTCCATCTCTCTGCTAAAGCAGATTTCCTGGAGTAGGTTGGTTGCGTAGGAAAGCATCTGATTTTGTGTATCTCCAGAGAAGGGGACTCTACCACCTCTCTGGGCAGCCTGTCCCAGTGCTCTGTCGCCCAAACAGTAATGAAGTTTGTATGAAACTGCCTATGTTCCTGTTTGTGCCCATCGCCCTTTGTCCTGCTGCTTGGCACCACTAAGAGCCTGGCTCCATCCACTTGACTTGACTCACAGCTATAGGTAGTCTTTTTCAGTATTATCACTAAGTGGCTATTTTTGGTGAACCTGAGTAGGTAGCACAATTATGAAATGCATTGTGAGAACAAGCTGCACATTGTTTAAGAAAAAGAAAAAAAAAATCTGTGCTGTAAGGGATGATAGGAGGGAGGAGGGGTAGGAACCACTTATACTTGTCTTCAGTATATCCATAACTAACTGGTTCTCTTCCACCCCTCATGTAGTGACACTCTAGTGAAAAACTATTTCCTTCTGTTACTTTTATACAATTTGCAGGCCATTATTTGACCATAAACACATAACCTTACTGTAAATGGGAGCCTTGAAGACAGATTTGCTTGTGTCTAGTAATTTGAGTAGCACTGAGGAACAGCTACAATATGCCTTAAAGGCCCAGCAGATGTATCTGCTTTGTTCAGGATGAAAATTTTACTCAGTGATTTTCGGGGTGGGTATTTCTTAAGTTCTTTGCATGTCTCTGGGAGGATTTGTGTATACCTGCTTGATTTCATGGCTGCTGAGTTCAAAAATGCCGTGCAGGACTTGGGCAGCCATGAATTAGTGTACAGACTGAGGAGACATGAAAATGAGGTGATGAGGCTTGGCTGTAGAAAGATTTTTGCTGTCAGTCTGAATGAAATAACACTGTGGGACTGGAAACAGCAGGCACTGTCAGATAGAAAGGATTAAAAGGCTTTTTAGTGTGGCTTAGTAGTGTACAGAAGATTGGCTTACTTGTGATAGATCTTCTTTTGTCACATTGATCTTTATTTCGCATTGTGCTTAATACAACAAAAACTGAAGTCTGAAGTATTCTTTCATGAATCGTCTCACACAATGTGTGCCTTCTGTTACTTACAAAAATCTTTTTTTTTTTTAAGAAATTGATTTTATTTTTTTTTTTTTCCACTATAGCCAATGTTGAGTCACAGCTGAAGAATACGGAGTTGTAATAATTTTATGATCACTGTATGTGGCCATGTTGATGAGAGGAAGGCTATGATAGAATGAGCTACACTACTTTATGTTACTTTCCTGTATGGATGTATCGATCTAACATAATAGGGAGCTAGCTGATGAAGGAATAAAAGGCAATTCAATGGTTCCCTGTGTCAGCTGTATGACTAAACCCATGAGGTGGTAATTACAGGATGATAGCTCCCGTTCCAGGGGATGCAGCTGGCTTGTCAGGCTGGAAACTAGAAATAAGGGAAGGATGATGTTGGCAGAGGCTGACTAAGGAAATTATTTGACACAGAGCAAGACTTAGCAAGAGAGGCTGGAAGAAGCTGGGCCTTCCTTTTGCCAGCACTGGAGCAGTAGGTATGACATACAGAAGGAAAGGTGTGTGTGTTGACTGGTTCATTGTTTTTAAGATTTATTTTGCCTTAAATGGTTGGTGCTAAGTGTTTTGTGATTGGTGCTTACTGTCTTTACTTCACGAGAGACTAAAACTGCAAGGCCTGGGTCTGTCTTGAATCTGCAGAGGTAATCATGGCTCATACACCGGGGAAGCAACCTGAGAACTGCTCTGCCTGTAGCTAAAGAAGACAGTGTGAGATCTGGGGGAACAGTTAGCTGATCTCTTGTGAGAACAAAAAGGCAAATGCATGAGTTCTGCTTTTTCATCTTTGAGAATGATTTTGTGCTTAAGTAGTTTATAGAACAATGGGCAAGCTTTCAGACAGACTCAAGCTTGGTGTTTGGATGTTTTGTTTTTCTTTTTTATGGCATAGTTAAAAACTATAATCTGAAGAAAAAATATTGCATAAATAATGGTGAATATCGGTTATGCCTAAAATACGGGCTAGCTGCTGCAACTGAATGATAATACAGCAAAAGTAGGTTTTATTTTGTTCCCTTTTATTCACTGTTTATTGTACAGCTGTTCTCACCACTTACCATATATAATCAATTGGTTGTCTCCTGCTGTTAATATGGATATTTAGTACATTGAAATTGAAAAAAGACATTTTTGTGGTAAGGAAAATGCAGCTAAAAAACTTGTCTTTTCACAGGATGGAAGGTTGTGCCATGTTTTATGCCAATAAAACAGCTATTAATGGCTTTGTGCTTCATATTCTTGTCTACTATCCACGCATACAGTTATCCACCATATGTCGGGTGTTTTATAAGGTGAGTGCTAGGAGCAGGAGGTGCAACATAGCTGCTTGTGTCCATTCCCCCTCCAGGAGTGGGTGAGTAGCAGCAGGCACAGGTTTGTAAGCACTTAATGGAAGAAAGGTAGATGCCGTTGGTAAGAGTGGTCTGGCATAAACAGGAATCCCAGACCTTCCCTTCAGTGTCTTTGGTCTGAGGTGTTTGTCTGGCGGTTGTTTTCTTTGTATGTGTTTGAGATCAAAGGAGAATATGGTACTTCAAACAAAATGTGCAAGGGCCCACCCTTCCTGAATTGCATTTTTGATAATGTGTTCAGTCCTGCCGCTGTAATACTCCGCAGAAGGGTTTTTTCTTTTTTCTTTTTTTTTTTTTTATAAACTCCACTCCTTTTTAATATATGTCACAAGAGAATTTTAATAGATGTTTTTGTAAGATTACTTTACAGTCTCTGATCCTACACTTCTTTCCACATAGTCTGTGAGAGGAGCCAGCAGCTTTAACTCATCAGAAGTTTGTGTGATGTATTACTTACAGTGGATGTAGGTGCCAGAAGTGACCTGTAAACCTAATACTAAATTGGGACTACAAAATTAATTTCACTTAGATTGTGGAAATTAGACTAGAAATAGAGTTCCTCTGGGAGCTGTGTAAACCTTGACATTGATTTAATGTAATTCTTTCCTTAAGAGGGTAACTTTAAATTGTATAACAATACATAGTTTTAACCAGCACATATTTCTAGCAAATTGTGCAGTAAGACAAGTATTAACAGGAACATTCAGTGGTATTTCTGAATTTAAAGATCAGTGTGTAGCTCTGTGGGTGCTGACAAGAGGGTCAGATGTCATACCCCTCCCTCCCCCTCTGCCCCCCCACCTGATCAGATAGGTCAAGTTATAAAGCCTGTGTGTCATTGCCAAGCATCTCCATTCAGTCCATAAATTGTAATTTATAATATACAAATTATATCCAAATCACACTAATTTACCCTGACTGGGGAGAATTTGTTAACTTGGATCCAGCAATTAAAGGTCTGATTAGCTCCAGAACAAAAATGTTTATTGTGTTACTGAATGGCAAGTGAGTGTTTGTTTTATGCCTTAATTTAGACTGAAATTATTCTGAATCATTCAAATGTTTATTTTTGCTCTGGATGACAGCATATTCTATACTAAAAAGCGTATTTTCTTCTTAAGATGTAGAAATATTTTGTTGTTTTTAAAGGGAACATGTATAGGTCTCTTTCTTCAGGTTATTGCCTGAGCAGGCTGTTTGTACAAGTCTGATTTAACATATGCACTGTCTTTGCACGAGAGCTCATGCATTAGATTACATTCGCGAGGGAGAATTTTGAGTACTTAAGCTTAATTTCACCTATTAAAACGCTAATTTTGAATGTTATACTTTAAGTAACTTGGAATACCCTGACACCCTGTAAAATATTTGACAATGTTTTAAGCAGTAAGAGTGCTCTGAATGTTCAGTCATCTCAAATTTGCTTCAAATTTTCTGGCATCTGTTACTGACCAAGTCTTCTGTATTATTTAACATTGTATTGCCATGGTCCTTTGCTAAGCATGTAGGTGCAGAAGCAGTTCTAACAACTATCTGACTGCAATCAGAGTACAGCTGCACACCAGACCTTAATCATTTCAGTTATTCTGAGTAACTGCTTACAGTCTGCCTTCTGCAACACCTCATTCATTTGAGCCACTGTTAAACATTCTCTTGTATGAGAAGAGTTTTTAAAAGGAATTACTTCTTCCAGACGTGGAATATGGTGATAGCAGGTAGCCCTTGTATTCTTCCTCCCTTCTGCATGCTTAGGGCTAATCTTCTGATCTTGTTAGTTCCTTTTAATCTCTAAATTGTCTGTATGTCCTCCCAAGACAGCTCTGCCCTTTCCTTTCCTTGATGATTTCAAGTTGTTTGTTCTTTCCAAGGTTAACTGTCAAGGGACAAGCTGTAAGATCATGCATATTTCCCCTACTGTAGTTATTTGCAAAGAAAAGTAAGCTATGATGAATGAGCATCCACACTAAAATAGAAAATCGCATACGAAAACCTACCACCCCCAAGGAGCTGAAAGGGCTTTTGGCAGCTAAAAAAATACACATGTTCTCCTAACTCATGATGAATAAAGGGACAGGAAGTAAATTTTGCAGAAATACAGTTTTAAAAATTAACACCTAGATTTAAAATTTAAAAAAAAAAAAAAAAAAAAAAAAAAAAGCAACAACAGGACAGAGAATCCCAAACTTCATTAGCAGAAATTTAGGACAACTTGAATCTTCTCAAATTGCAACCTGACCCAACCATGTGAAAACACTTTACATCAAGAGGGGGAGGTAGATTTGCACTTCTTATTGAATTGTAATGTTATCTTTGAAAATACTAAGATAAAAATCGTATGTTTTAGAAGATGAAATGACACCTACAGCTTGAAACATCTCCTGACGTGACAAATGGGGCTTTCAAAATAAAGCAGTGAACACTTTGTATTTGCAATTTACAATGACAGTAGCCATTTATTATCAGGTATGTTCTGTACTGTAACCATAATAGTGTTAGCTGCTAAGACTATGAAAACTTGTAAGGAATATAAGAATGCTTAAGGAAAAAAAAAAAAAAAAAAAATTTATGTGCATCTGTAGATGCTTTGAATGAAACACATCATGTTTCAGTGGAAAAAAATAATTCAATTTTATTTCAGTGTGAGTGATATGTATTTCTAGCTGTGTGGCTTTTTGTTCTTGTACAGGAAAGAACAAAGAGGCTGAATAAGTGTTTGAATTGCAGCTGACTCTGTGGAGAGCATATGTACTTTAAACAAGTTCTTCCTGAGCACAGAACGCTGCTTGGTAGTTGCAAATTTAGAAGTAAGCATGAAAAACCCTCCTTTCAAGTTAAAGCTTTTATATGCATGACAGATACATAGGATTGTTTGGTGCCATGCTGGAAAACTGTACTACTTGTTCACTTAACAAAGGAAATTGGATTACTCCTTAGATCTGCATGTGAATGTCGCACCAGACATTAATGAATGTCAAGTTGGCCTGGTTTGCTCTAATAACAGAAAACAGTTGAAAATATTTCCCAGTAGAAATTCAATAAAAATGTATTTTTATACTGCTTAGTCCAACATTCCTAAAATTGATATATTTTTTATTTTAGTGAATTTAAGCATGATCCAATAATAACAAAGTTAGCAGGAACATGCTTCACTAAAACCTCATTGGGCTGTGGGATGTAGTGTATATATATGATATTTGTTATACCCAATGAGAAGGCACTGAGCAAATGTGTTCGTTAGTGACTTACTGGACAGCTTTGTGAGAAGCACTTGACTAAAACCCTGTTCCAGTTATTGTATATTTAACAAGCTCCATGAATAGCTATGGCCTAACAGCTTCCTGTTTCTCAACCGTACTGGTGGTGTTTCTGAAACATAATAAAACAATAATCTGCAGGATGGAGGTTGCAGAGAAGGGTGGTTGCTTATCAAGGCTCTGCAGTCTTGCATCCCATCCCCTCTGCTGCTTGTGGAGGCTTGGAGACTCAGTTTTTTCTACTGCACGAGCCCTTGGCAGCCATCTCCCATCAGGGCCTTAATCCTTTCAGAAGTCCTGGATGCCGAAAGCATCCCACACCCCTGCCTACTGACTGTTCTGTGCCAGCAGCGCAGTGGGCTCCTGCTTTGCCTCAGGCCTGGATGCAGTGACAGAACTGCGCTGGATGTTTCCTGGGTGGAGTCCATCCCGCTGCCCCGCTCTGTACCAACCCTGCGGTTACTCTCATGCTTCCTTCTGTTCCCGTGTTCGAGCTTACTGGAGTCCATGTCCCAAAGGCAAAAGCTTGCGATATTTATAATTAAGTGACTTGTATTGAGGAAAGAACGAAGGCTTGAATAGGCCTATAGAGATGTTAATCTGTGTGATCCGTTTGGATAATGGAAAAGTGGAAAAATAGTATCTACAAAGAAAAAGTCGTGTGCGTGTGGTGCTCAGGTGCTCTGGAGTTATACTTTACTGAAAGCAGCTTTATTTTTAGATCTTCCAATAAAAAACGGATGTTGCTGAGATAGTATTAGAAGACAGCGCCGCGGGGCCGGTCCCCGTCACAGCCATCGATGCACGCAGCTCCTCGCCATCCCCTTAACAAGTAAGAACAAATGCCCCGCTCTCTATTCGGGAGCTGGTCCGTGGCACAGCACCGAGCCATTCCGGAGCCGCTCAGCCCTTCGACCACCCGCTCCCCGCTCCCCCCGCGCTCGACGCCCGTGTCTGCAGCCCCTCCTCCCCGCGCGCCCGCCCCTTCACGCGGCCGCGCCGCCCTCCTTCCCCTCCCGCCTGCTACCGGACAAGATGGCGGCGGCCGCGCGTTGGGCCGCGTTGGGTCTGGCGCTATGGCTGTGCGCGGCGGCCCGCGCCGAGGAGCCGGAGGGGAAGCGGCGGGCGGGGCCGGCCAAGAAGAAAGACATTCGGGACTACAACGACGCGGACATGGCCCGGCTGCTGGAGCAGTGGGAGGTGCGGGGCGGGGCTGGGGGCCCGCGCTGGGGTCTCCACGTTCGGCTGGAGGAGCGGGCGGCTCTTCCCAGGCATGGCCGCGGCCTGGCGGGGCGGTAGGGCTGCCCGGGGGTGCAGGCGACCCTGTGACAGCAGGTCGCGGCTGGGGTTGCTGGAAAGGAGCAGCTCCGTGCGCGGGAGCTGTGGGGAGGAGGGGCGGCTGCGCGGGGCTGGCGGTGAGCTGTGCCGTAACGTGGAGTGGTGCGGGTTTCTCCCTGTAGAAAGGTGTTTTCTTGGAAAATAGAGACAGCGTTTAAAGGAAACGGTTAAAAAGCTAAAGTTCACCTTTTATTAATCAGGCAAGAAGCAGATAGTCCTGGCTGCTAAAAAAAAAAATAAATAAAATGATTGTAGTGGGCAAATTCAGCTTAATTTGGCATAGTAGGGCAAATCATAAAGGAAAGGTTGTCTGAGGTGGTGAGTTCGTTGCTTGGACAGAAGGGTTGGTGCCTCTGGGGCTCCTGCTTCGTGTTCTGTGCCAGCTGGGTGGCCAGCAGCTCTGCTCTTTTCCCTGTAGCTGGAGGTCTCTGTTTCACTTCACAGAGTGCTGCACGATTGCTCGCAGACGTACTGTGTGCAGCTGTGGCTGGGCAGCTCGGCTTGGCATTGCAGCCGAGGACGTGCATGCACAGCCATGTGAGCAACAAGTTAATGGTAGTGGGAGCTCAACAATTCTGATGGTCGGCTGTGTGGCATTTCTCTAGTAGCTGCTGGGATGCCTACAGGGGACTGGAAAGACTTGAGGGTGGGGTGGATGGAGCATAAAGAAGAAAGGGCTTAATTGGCTTGAAGGGGTGGGATAAGAGAAACAAAGGAGCCGTTATGGATTTGGATAAGAGCAGGAATTATGCTCGGGAGTGAGGGGGCATAGGGCACGGATCTGTGCAGAGCCAAGTTTCCTTGGTTTCAGTAGATTAAGACTCCTAGTATTTTCTATTTTTGTGGCCATAAGGACGGAAACTACATTTCCTTATGAACAATTTTTGTTAGAGACTTAGTTGCAATCTTCAGTGTTTTAAAAGCTTGTTTAGATAGCACCAAAGTGGGAGCAAACAAACTTATTATGAAAATCTCTCCAGGTTTCTGAGTGCCCTTTCAGCAGGTTGGAACAGTGTGGGCTTGCCAGTGTTAAAGGGTTTTAATATTGAAGTCTTGTTGATCCAAGACGCATCAGTAAGTGAGCTTCAGCTTACACAACAGCACTTGCTGTATTCAGTCACTGCTTTTGTTAGAGAGGTGAAAGGATAGGAAAAGTGCAGTTGGTTTCTGCTGTGTAGAGATTTCCCTCGTGGTAAGGGCCTCTCCAGCAGCCTTGAGTCCAGAGGAGGTGGAAACAGAACAACCCCTGGACCAGGTTCTCAGCTCTGTTATTAAAACAACATATCCTTTAAAACAGATTATTACTCAGGCTTGAATCTGAGCTATGGTTATTTAATGGACTATGGATGTGGATGGCATATGTTGCAGATCCTTTTAAAAATAAAAATCCAAGGTGTTGGTGAGAGAAGTTCAGGAGATAAGGTTGAGAGAGAAGGAACAGGTTGCTACTGTATGTAATGCTTGGCTGTTGAAGCCTCACATTAGCATTTAAATGAATTAGTCTCCTAGATGTTGCAAAGCAAAGGGTTACACTTTTCTTTCTGTCCTTTACTTTGTAATTAACTTGATTAATAAAAATGTGATAGTTTGTGCAGGATCATCAAGGGAAGTGACGTTTAGTGGATCTTTTGACCACTTATTTCAATTGAAGCTCTAGTAATACTTCTTTATGGATGTTTGGTTGAATAGTTAAGGATAAAATAGGTAATATAGATCATCATGTTGAGGTTGTAGTCAATTTCTGTGTTGTATAGGGAATATTTGTAAACGTTGTTTCTGCCTTTCTGTTTCAAAGCTGTGGAATATGTTGGTTTTGTGCTATTCCTGCTATCCAGACTGGTAGAAAGTGCGGTTAATAATTCGCTCATCCATGTTCAGAACATTTATGATTCAATTGTGTGAGATTCTATATTTAAAGGTGCATGGTGTGCTTAATAAAATTCCATTAAACTGAAGGAAAAGGTGTTATTTTATGAAGCACCTAGTGGGTTTGTATTGGATCAGCCATGAGGATGGAATATTTCTCAGTATATGATAAAATGAGATTTTACCTGCTGGAGTAAGAATGTGCATTGCTCTGAGGAGAGGGTTTATAAGTGACTTATCCTGAGGCAAAGTTCACGGTTTCTTTTCATGCGGGGGTCTCCATCTTCAAACTACTCAGTGCTTTCTTATCAAAGCAGAGTTATTCCCTAAACAGTGGTGAGTTTTTGAAAAGAATGTTTTCCTCAACAGTTTCATTTTAACACATCCTTCTTTTCAATATAGAAAGACGATGACATTGAGGAGGGGGATCTTCCTGAACACAAGAGGCCTCCAGCACCAATAGATTTCTCAAAAATTGATCCAGGCAAGCCTGAAAGCATCCTGAAACTGACAAAAAAAGGGAAGACTTTGATGATGTTTGTCACAGTGTCAGGAAATCCCACGGAAAAAGAGACAGAAGAAATTACTAGTCTGTGGCAGGGAAGTCTCTTCAACGCCAACTATGATGTACAGAGGTACGCCGTTGTATGCAAGGGTAAAGTTTTGCTCAGAACTCTTGTTTTTTTTCCTTCCTGGAAATCTTTTCCGTTGTTGACCCTGTACTCTTCTCTAGCTCTATCAACTCCTACTATTTCTTTGCTGCTATGTCAGTTCATATAACAATTGTTTTTCTTCTAAGTCACTTTAGAAAAATTTTGGTTTGGTGCATAAATATTTTTAACACTTATTTGTGGTTTGCATGTAGCCTAGCTTCTTGTTACCTCATGGTTCAGCTTTTTTTCAGTTTTAGCTGCAGTAGTTTGCCTTCATGTTGATGGAAGACATCCTACTCGTAAGATGTGTAACCACAAAGGGTTTTTTGTTCCTCTGGCTGAAAATAAGATTTCTGTCCAAGAGAGAGTGGCTGGTTTTGAAACAGGAATGTTGCAGTCTTGAGTTGAGACTGGGAACGTTTGCAGTGAGAGAACAAATCAGATTTAATGCCCATCAGTGGATTTTGTATAGCATCAAATTAGTTCTAGCGTTTTCTTCATACTTTCTCCTACTTGGTTATTTCTAAACTTAACACTTATTATTCTTCCATGCTAGCAAACTGTTCTCATCCACATCTCCAAACAGCAAGACCAATTACTTGCTTTTAGATGGATATCTGTCTCGGAGGGGCTCTGAATGAAATAAAACGTTTTAGCACTGGAAAAGCACAGAACTAACAGAAAAATTATGCATCTTTCCTCTAGGTTTATTGTTGGCTCAAATCGTGCAATCTTTATGCTCCGTGATGGTGGTTATGCCTGGGAGATCAAAGACTTCCTGATAAGTCAAGAAAGGTGTGCAGATGTTACTTTGGAAGGCCAGGTTTATCCGGGCAAAGGAGCAGATGGAAGTGAGAAAGGAAGCAACAAAACCAAACCTGAGAAAGCAAAGAAGAAAAAAGATGCAGAGAAGAAATCTAAAAGCAACCAAGAGGACAACCGTGCAACCAAACAGAGAGAAGACCTATGACAGATGGACGAACCAGACTGAATAGTGCTCTGTTTCTTGAAGGGAAACTTAACTTTCTTTACAATTTCTGGTTTTATAGAGGAGAAGGAAGGAAGCAGATGTTACTGAGGTTTAAAGACTTCTGTGTTGAAATACACGTTTACTTATTAATGTTGGCTGTTTGTTTAGTTACAGAAACGGTAATGCTTAATACCAGCAATTGACTACTTTAGTTTGTAATTCTTTATGCTTTTGTTGTTGTTCAAAGTTAACATACAGACCTATGTCTGAGGTTATGAACATAGGTGGGGAGGAAGGAATAGAGTCTCAGAATACACCAGTGTTAATCTGTAGTAGCTCCTGTTCATCTTGGGGTTGCAAGTTGGTCGTTGGTTCCTTGTTGCAGGGCTTCTTGCTAAAAGACACTTTAGGAAGCCAATTCGCCACTCTCAGTTTGCAAAACGACTTAAGTTGCCAAGAACAATGTTATGGTGGCCAAAGATGTCTGAAATGGCCAGGTTTAAGATGGGTTTGGTTAGACTGCTTTTCTGTAAACAAAAACTCTTCTGTTTGTCACTGAAAATCCACAGAAGTGCTTTAATACGTAATAGAAGCTAGTCATACACTCAGCTAATGCACTCCAAATCAGTACAGAGATTTTGTACCCATCAGATGTGATGCAGTTGAGTGTAAGGAAGCTACAAAGCCAACGTGGACAGTGTTAGAGTGAAAAGAAAAGTCACATTCATGGCATTCAAGTTGCTACTGCTACCAAAGAACAGTACCCCATTATCTAGGCAGTGAGTTAGAAGATACGGCTTTAACTCTGGAATTAATTTGTTGTGCTAATGGTTTGCTTGAATCCTTGTAAAAACATTAGTCACAGTGCAGAGTTAAACTTCGAGGTTGACATATCTCTTACTGATGTTTAATAACCAGATTAATTTTTTTCCTTAAATTCCTGAGCGTGCCGTGGTTGATTGTAAATGATCAGTGGTTTAAATAACGTGAACTTTGATGTATGGGAGCAAGTCTCATTTCTCCTTGAAAGCTTTTGTGTGGTCAGGAAGGTTTTATTATAATGCCATCAGTTTTCAGGCAAACTCATGGCTTAGCTGTGCTTTCCTTTTCCTCTTCTATGTATTTAGGACTAAATGCACCCTGTATTTGTGGTCCACATAATTTTTCAGAGGATGAGCACAGTATTAACTGTCTCAATTCGATAGTACCAAGATAATATTACTTTCACTCTTTTTATAAGGTGCTAAAATCCAAGTGTTTTGGGTGAAAGGTCCTAACTGAACCATAATGGTTGCTCTTGTGGAATATTTCATTATCAAAAGAGGGAAGCTGACTTACTGAGTGCTTGTTCCAAAATAAAAGGATGTCACTAAACTTATTGCTTCACTGAGTAGTCAAACATTTTAAATAATGATGCGTTTAGTTAGAAGTTCAGGGAGGAAAACTAGCCTGTCTTTGGTTTCTTTAGTTACTCATAAGGACTAACTGTATTGATAAAAATTCCAGACAATCATTTTTCCTTACTTCCAGTGATAGCGTATGAATGCAAGAAATCTTTCCTGCCACACTTCACTGAACAGTTGTCTGAGTGGATAAATGAAAGTCACATATTGGTTTTGTATTCCACTGTTAATCCAAAGGCATTCAGGAGTTGAGGTAGGTCTCTAGAAACTTGGATGTTGGACTGTGGAGAGATGTGCAGTCTGTTTCTTGTTCATAACTAACTTAACATGTTGTAACACTTTCAGGTACCTTCTGTTTTGTCTAACAATTTTTCTTCTGAGAAGATAAGCATATGTGAAATGTTACTGCCTTTTTTTTTCTTTTTACAACAACTCTATGGTACCAAGATGACAATTCAGTTTGTCATCACACGAGTGGAAGTGCTCTGTTCTTTCTGGCTTGACTTTTGGTTGTGTTTTTTTGTTTTTTTCAAACTGGGTTTTAATGAGCTAAGTATTTAAGTAATGCAACTAATAATAGAAAATCAAAGCAAAGGAGGAGGGTTGATGACTACCCTGTAACTGTAGTCCAACTTCTGAGAATCAGTGCTTGTTGTAGTCAGTCGAAAGGCTGTGTTTACAGCAGGCTGGGTCTCTTCCTTTTGTGGTTAATAGGGTGGAGGGAGCTTTGCTGAAATTCAGCACACCTGTTGACCAGTTGTTTGTTTCTGAGTAATTAGCGTGTGCCTAATGAAGTCATGTTTTATGCCACTTTTTTTAAATTAAAAATGATGGCTCATTTGATTTTTCCCTCTAAAAGTCTTTGGGACCATGGTGCTTGGACTGGTGCAGCTTTATATAAGCAGTGTTATGTTGTACTGATTGAAGAGACGCAAACACAATATATATGCATGTGTGTATATATATGTTGCATATATATACATATTGAAACTGAGCTTCTTGAAGGTAATTTTGTTTAGTTGGAGATGATAACTTCTTGCCTCCTTATCTAAGCTCTACACACAGGTATGTGGAAAAAAGCCTGCTGTCATGACAGCTAAACATCTGCCTTTCTCTACTCCACTTCAATTATTTCTCTGTTCTAATGCCACAACTAAATTTGCTGGGTTATCTTTATATTTTAACCCAGCTGCCATTCTCAGAAGATAGTTTGGCAATGTTACTACAGAAAATGTCATACTTTGTGAAAACTTTTCATTTGATTTTATTGATTAAAATATTGGAATAAGCATCTGATTTCATTTTCAAACTAAGTCTAATGTATACCATATGCCTCATCTGTTCTACTGAATGTATTTATTTTTCTAATTTATATTTCTAGCTATAAGAGAACAAGTGCATTCCCTATTCTTGGAGACCTAACTTTAATGGAGCAAAGTGAGTAAGCAAAGCTGATGTTTACGCTACATGGAAGACCTAGCTAGCCTGTATAACAAGTGAATGCTAGTGCTTAAATATGGAACAAAACACCCTCAGCAGTGACTAAATGTTATTATTTAGGACATTCAAGCATTGTAAATGCTTCTTTCTGGAAAGATGAGAATTCGATTTGTGGTCATTACTACATCACTAAGAGGTACGTGTAATAAATTTCAGTGTCATGGGATTACTGTGAAACCATAGCTGTTAGCAGGCTTTTATCACTATCTTATCTGCTACATGGTCATCTTCTGCATCTTTTCCAGCAGGAAAAAATCTCTTTTGGTTTGTCTCCAGCACTGCTCTCTCATTCTAAGTGAAGGACACATTTTTAAAATTCCACTGTTATCTATTATGACACACTGAGCAGCTCTGTAGCCAACAGGATTTCTGGTTTTCACTTGTGCTGTCAAAGCATTTCTCTTTGAGAAGCCGGGTCAGCTTTGGTTTCAAAAAGGTCTCTGTCACTGTTACTAAATTTTTAAAATTCTTTTTCAAGAAGGAAATCATAAAATAACATTCCATTAAGATACAGGGCAGCCTACTTCTCTTTGATATTTGGCCGCTGTTATCTTGGGCTTTGTAATAAGGCTCAGGAAATATTTCTACTCTTTCTGTGGCTCGTTTCCTTTTTTTTTTTTTTTTTTATTTTATTCAGGGAGCATTTACCTTTTTCAGAATTTTCCTTGATTGCATGGCATGTTTTTAGCAATGCAGAGAGCCATGGAGCTGCCTCTGCTTTTGCAGATCCGTTTTACTGGTGCTGTGATGTTTCTAATTCTTAACAATTTTGCTGGTTGGGTTCTGGGACAGGAATCAGCAGGGTTCATTCAGAGAGCTTTGAACTAGATTCAAAGTGGGATGGAGTTGTAGCTGGATTGGCACTGGTGGGGCAGCACTCTAGTACTGATAAAGACGAGTGCTTCCCCTCTCCTTAGGGTTGAAATCAGTGTGCTCAGCTTGCTCCCTGAAGAGCCTGTACACCAATGCATGTAGCATGGGGAATAAGCAGGAGTCAGAAAGCGGTGTTAGGGCAGGAGATCGTGATCTGGTGGCAATTACAGAGACGTGGTGGGACAGGTCAGATGACTAATGTCGTGGATGGCCATGTTCTTTACAGGAAAGACAGACCAGCAAGGCAAGGTTGTTCTCTATGGGAGAGAACAACTAGAATTCATTGAGTACTGTCCAGGACTAGATGAGGAGCAAGTTGAGAGTTTGTGGGTGAGAAGGGGCAGGCTGGCCTGGTTGATAATGTTGTGGTTGTCTATTACAGGCCACTGGATGAGGACAAGGAAGTTGGTGAGCCCTTCTATAGGCAGCTGATATCAGCCTCACAATTATAGGTCCTGGTATTCATGGGGGATTTTAGCTACCCTAATATTTGCTGGAAGGCCCACTCAGCAAGCCAGCCACAGTCTAGGATGTTCCTCCAGTGCATTAATGATAACTTTTCTGGATGGAAATGGTGGATGAACCAACTAGGAGAGGACAGCTGCTGGATCTTGTTCTCACTAACAGAGAGAGTAATGGGTTGAAGTGGTGAAGGTTGAAAGCAGCCTTGGTTGCAGTGATCATGAGATGGTGGAGTTCAGTATTTCATGTGGCAGAAACAGAATACCAAGCAGAATCACAACCCTGGACTTCAGAAAGGCCAACTTTGGCCTTTTCAAGCAATTGCTAGCAGAAATCCGATGGAACAGGGTACTTGGTAAAGGGGCCCATGATAGTTGGCTAGCATTCAAGGACTGCTTCTTTCAAGGTCAAGATCAGAGCATCCCAACGGGTAGGAAGTCAAGGAAGGCAGCCAGGAGATCTGCAAGGTCAAGCAGAGAACTGCTGGGCAAACTCAAGTGGAAGAAGGGAGCCTACAGATCATAGAAGGAAGGACTGGCCACTTGTGGGGAGTATAATACTGTTGTCAGAGGATGTAGTGAGACAACTAGGAAAACTAAGGCCTCCTTAGAATTAAATCTTTAGAGAGGGGTCAAAGACAACAGAAAGGGCTTCTTCAAATATGTTGCAGATATAAATGCCTTATTTGTCTCTGTCTACACAGCTGGAGGCTGCCCTGCAGAGGCATGTACCTTGAGGCCCCAGAGGAAGTCAGGATAAAGGAGTAATTTGCTTCGGTTAATGAGGTTAGAGACCAGTTAAGCAATCTGGACATCCATGAATCCATGGGTCCTGATGGGATGCACCCATGGGTGCTGAGGGAGCTGGCAGAAGTTATTGCTAGGCCACTCTCCACTATCTTAAGTAAGTTGTGGGGGATGGGAGGGATGCCTGAGGACTAGAGGAAAGCTAATGTCGCTCCAATCTTCAAAAAGGGCAAGAAGGAGAACCCAGGTAACCATAAACCAGTTCAGCTTCACCTCCAGCCCTGCAAAGGAGATGGAATAATTTATCCTTGGTGCTGTCTCCAGGCATATCAAGGATAAGAGTTGTCATTAGAGGCAGTCAACACGGCTTCACTAAGGGGAAGTCATACTTGACCAACCTAGTAGCCTTTTTTTTGGAGATTTAACCAGCTGGCTAGATGATGGTGAAGTGGTGGATATGGATGTGGTGGATTTTAGTAAAGCATCTGACACCATCTCCCACAACATCCTTGCAGCTGAACTGAGAGTGGGGTCTGGATGATCGAGTAGTGAGGTGGACTGTGAGCTTGCCGAAGGAAAGAAGCCAGAGAATTGTGGTCAATGGGACAGAGTCTAGTAGGAGGTCTGTATCCAGTAGAATCCCTCAAAGGTCAGTACTGGGACCAGTGCTATATTTATACTTTTATATAAAGATATGTATTTTATGTATGCACTGTCAGCAAGTTTGCTGGTGACACAAAACTGGCAGGTGTGGCTGACGCGTCAGAAGGCTGTGCTGCCCTCCAGCAAGACCTAGACAGGTTGGAGAATTGGATAGGGAGAAATTTAATGAAATATAACAAGGGCAAGTGTAGTCTTGCATCTGGACAATAACAACCCTGGGTACCAGTATAGGCTGGGGACAGACACAGATCACAGAATCACACAGAATCACACAGAATCACAGAATCACCCGGGTTGGAAGGGACCCCAAGGATCATGTAGTTCCAACCCCCCTGCCTAGCAGGGCCACCAAACATACACATTCAGATCAGGTTGCCCAGGACCCCGTCCAACCTGGCCTTAAACACGTCCAAGGACGGGGCATCCACAACCTCCCTGGGCAGCCCATTCCAGGGCCTAACCACTCTCCTAGTAAAGAACTTCCCCCTAACATCCAACCTAAATCTTCCCTCCTTCAACTTAAAACCATTTCCCCTAGTCCTGCTGTTATCAGCCCTTCTGAACAGTTTACTCCCCTCCTGGGTGTAGGTTCCCTTCAGGTATTGATAGGCTGCAATGAGGTCACCCCGCAGCCTTCTCTTCTCCAGGCTGAACAAGCCCAACTCCCTCAGCCTGTCCTCATAGGGGAGGTGCTCCAGCCCCCTGATCATCTTAGTCGCCCTCCTCTGGACCTCCTCAGACCTGTAGGAGAGCAGCATAAGGGAAAAGGACCTGGGGGCCCTGGTGAACAGCAGGATGACCATGAGCCAGCACTGTGCTGTTTCCTCTACCCTGCTGTCCTTCCCCTCTACTCTGCCCTGGTGAGGCTATATCTGGAGTATTGTGTCAGTTCTGGGCCTGGTATTTCAAGAAGGACAAAGAACTGTGTGTGCCCGGTGCAGAGCCACAAAGATGATTAAAGGAGTGAAGGAAAGGCTGAGGGAGCTGGGTCTCTAGCTTGGGGAGGCTGAGGGGTGACCTCTTGACATTTATAAATATGTAAAGGGTCAGAAGTGTCAGGAGAATGGAGCCAGGCTCTTTTCAGTGACATCTAATGATAGGACAAGGGGCAATGGGTGCAAGCTGGAATGTAGGAGGTTCCACATAAATATGAGAAGAAACTTCTTCACAGTAAGGGTAACAGAACAGTGGAACAATATAATGCTACTTAATAAAGCAGCGTCCTTGTTGTTGATGTTACTGCAGCTATAGATGTTTCTTATAGCAAAAGCAGGTCTGTTACCATCACTTAAATTAATAGTAATAATTCTAATAAATATGTTTTTAAATGGATTATTTTTGGTGTTGGACATAGATATGGATTGAGGCACTTGAAGGCACTGCAGCCCTTGCAGTGCTGCTGGCAGAGGCACTGTGGCTCTATGTGCCATCTCATGTGAGATCTCACGAATATCCAAACTAGTACATATTTCACATTGCTTTATGGATATTAATCATCCTCCCTGTTGTATGCACAGAGAGGGCCTGCTGCTTTTCTGTTCTTGCTTTCAGCTCTTGTCTTTCGGGTGCTGGTAACCTTGTTAATAGTGGTGTGAACTTCAGATATCCATGGTTATAACATGAAGGAGTTGCTAGGGAGCTTGGAGAAGCACAGGCATGGAACAACTCCAGCGTTGCTGGAGTTTCTACCACCAGCCTCCTCACTGTGTTGTGGTGTGACAGATCACAGCAGCAGGGTTCGTCTCAGTGCCCTTCACACCCCACAGCATCCCCTGCCTCCAGCAACAAGGAGTGTGCTTATAGGGTGAGAGACATGGGGCTGAGAGGACACCAGGACCTCCCCATGTCCTCACATGGAAGAGGTTTTCAAAGGTTTTGTCTTTGAATGTAACCAAGGAGCAGTGTATCTCTCTCAGATGATGTAACAAGTCCTGGGCTGGTCTCCACTTCAGACTTAGCAACACTGCATCACCTGTATCTTCTTAGGAAAGCAAGCTGCTAAGAGCAAAGCTGAGGCACTGGATGCGATGGTCTGAACACTGTTGGCTGCAGAATGAGCTATTCCAGCAAACGCCACCTGATCATTAGAGATGTACACTGAAGAAGCAAGACACAAAAGTAAAATGAGAAACTTGCATTGAATATTTATTTTGATAAACGTTGTGTACTCCAAACAACTACATGTTATTTCAGTTGTAAGCCACGATCTTTTGGAACGAATGTCCCGACAGCTCTTGTCACCACAAAACAGACAGTCAATTCATTACCACATTCTGCGGACATAGAGAGCTTTCAAGTGCAAAGCAGATTATCAGAAAAGCCATATTGCCGACCTCCTTAACAACCTAGCCAATGCTAAACTCTAGTAAAGATGCTTCGTATGTCTGCAATTTAGTTGTCTTAGTGCCATTGTAATAAATAAATAGAAAATATATCTTTTTCATTGGAAAGTCTCTAAGAAAATGTACAAAACACTATACATCTAACCCGAAAAAGGACCAGCTATTTCGGCGACAGGTAAAACAAGCATTTGAACAGAATGCAAAAACAAAAACAAAAAAAAAAAACCAAACATCCAACCAAACAAGCATCTGAACAAAAAAACAATCAAAAAATCACTCTGACAACAGCAACTGGGTAGGCAGAGATGGGAACGTTTGCAGTAATAAAACCTTATAAAGAGGATCATTGCAGCTGGTGCAGGGATTGTTAAATGGACATACAAAGTACAAGCAGCCAGTTAATTCACTAGTCAAAATGTGCAGGTGCAATTTCTACAACAGTTAAAGATTAAAAAGGAATCATATGGCACAAAACTATTGCTGACTGGTGATGGCATCAGGCTAAGCTGTGACTTCAGAGTAACCCACTGACTTCATCCGATTCACGTCAGTGGGAGTCCTTTGCATTTCACAGGAGTGTCTGCCCCAGTACACTGCTATGATGCTCCATTATCCCTCAGGCTTACAGACTGCAGTGATCCTGTCCTAAGTATTCACAGCATGAGACCCAGCCCTAGCTCCAAACAGGCCCCAGGTGACAAGCTCTACATGACAGAATGTGCTAAAGTGTTTTTCTCTTAATAAGACAAGATTTTCTTAGGAAGAAGTTTTCCTAGAGCCAAGTCTTGTGATTTCACCCTGAGAATTCCAAAAATTGTAAAATCAGAAGCTACAACTCTAGCACAAATGCAGAGGAAGCCAGCCTAGGGCACGGTCCTTTGGGCATCTGCACATGTATAGTTACAGGGAGCCTCCAGCGACCAGGGAAGAAGTGCTTCACAGAGGGGGGTGTGGAAAACCAGATCCCAAACCAGGTACATTCTGAACCTCGCTTTCCTGCCCATGTCAAGTGCTCATGAAAGAAATGCTCACACTTTGGTCCATCTCATGGAAGCACATGTACTCCACTGGTACAGGTGCAATTATAGGAACGAAGATGTGTAGATAAACCAGCCTGACACACTCAGGGACTTTTTTTCAGTGTATTTCTCAATTTCAGGGATCTGATTCTGTTTCATCTATCAGAGAATGTCAGGTAAGTGATGTTTGGCTGAACTTAAAAGGGACCTTTCCAAGGAAGAGTTTGTGCTTTGAGGGTGAAATTCCCCAAACCATCGTAAGAAAAAAAAACCCACCACCACCACCTAACTAACTTGTCCATCCATTCCAGAAACAGTGCAAATGCCCCAAACCCAAAAACAACTGTGCTGCTCCTTCATTAACAGGCTCTTGTTGAGAAGCAAGGGAAGAAAAAGGGAAAGCTTGGATATAAGCTTGAAAAGAACATTTCCAGTTTCAAAACCCAGGAGAGGCTGGAAGGAAATATAGCCTACAGTGCTACCTGACTTTTTCTCACAATTGTTTTTCCTTTCAGAGATATTGATCTAAAAAGGAGGGACAGAGCTGACAGAGTTCAGCATCATCCCTGTTGTGGGATGACCTGCAGCATCATTGCTCTTTCATTCTAGCTAAAGGACAGTATTTTGGAAAGTGTGTGTGTGGGGGGGGGGGAGCAATTTAGTTACTGGAGTTCTAATTAAAACAGCAAAATGAAGTAATTATCAGCAGTCAGAATAATTTCTGTAGTAATATGGACAGGGAGAGACAAAGAGGGGAAACAAACCCAGATATTGGGAAAATTGACTTTCATATTTACTTTTAAAACTTCTCTCTTAAACCTCTTTATAACAGCCACTGCCTCTGCATACGCTTTCATGGCATTTCTGAGCAACAAACAGAAACGTCACTGAACATCAGAAGTGCTTAAAATATTTTACAAGACAATGCTTAATTTCCCACCTTCAGGAAATGTCTGTGCAGGAGTCCTGACTCTCACTGATCTGCCTTTATTACCAGCCTAATGCTTTGAAGGAAAGGGGAAGCAGGTACACAACATCCAACTAGCATATGGGGATTCCCAGTCTAATTCTTCAGCTATCTGGTAAGACCTCAAAGACTTCTACCTCTGTCACCTTCCACTCACATAACTCTTCCAGGAGGTCAAGATACTCATGGTCCAAAGGCCAAGGACTTGGCTGGAAAGTAACACCCAAGAGACTGACCCAATCTGGAAAGGTAAGTGCTGCTCAACCCATTTGTAGCTGAGAAACACAAGTCTCAGTATTCCCAGCTGAGGACTGGAAATCTTGAACAGGATGTCCTTTTTGACTGTCTACCATACACCTTCTAGATTGGTCCTGAATATATATATGGTCAGACTGAAGAGAAAGGGATGGAATTGTTGGTGCTGACTGACAGGTCTTTTCTTCTAGACTATGGCTGCTGTTGAAGGAAAACCTCCCATTTGAGAAACCACTATTAAAAGACCTGAAGGTACAGGAGAACCACGGTTTTCTGAACAAGCAGAAAGATGTGGTTGCATCAGTCTCTTCTTGTACACTTGCTTAACTCCTCTCCCCTCTGTTCCCCAACTATGTGCCATGTATGTACAACACAGATCCCGAAGAGCTTGATAAGTTGTCACAGAAAATTTAAGGTACAGTCTTGCTGTCCAGTTACATTTCCTAGCATCTAAGTAGTCATTCAAATCCACACCTTCTACCTTAGATTTTCAAGGCTTTGAGTTGGCTGGTTACTCCGGGGGAAAGAAAAGTGTTTGGACGAGTTAGAGGTTGGTACAAACAACAATCCTCAGTGGCCTTTAGCCCTAGATCTCACCTTTCCAGAGACAACACGCCATAGGCGTGCTGATAAAACCAGCAGCTTGCAGATCAGGTCAAACCTTGCTTAGTGACATGAGCGTCAACATCAATGGAAGTCAACTGGCGAAGTGCCGACGATCACAGAACACGCGCTGATCACAGAGGAATGCGTTTCCATCACATGCGGCCACTTTAGCTACTTACAGTAAGATTTCTTTTTTTGAACAACGACAACAACAAAACGCTACGCTTCTGGAGCACACTGTAATGTGCCTGTCATGAACAGTCAGTAGTCCATCCCAGTGGGGCAGTGCTGGCAGCCAGAAGAAGGCAAAGCTTTGCGTCCTCACAACTTCATTTTCTTCACCACAGGAATTGGCAGTGCTTGGTAGATTTTAGCTGAGTCCTCATTAGTGACCAGCTTCACCCAGACAGGACGGAAGCTGCCTTTGAATCCAACAAAAGCCATTTTTTCTGCAAATCAGAGCAAATAGATTAGAAGCATATCAGGGCTGTAGACACCCACATGGGTGGCTACACCCAGACTGCTGGACCGATGCAGGTGGTCAGGAGCACAAAAGCGCATACAAATGTTGCTGATAATGCACTACTGAGGAATTAAAGAAATATTTTCCATATCAGGTTTAATTAAAATTGTATACATAACTTCTGTGCTTCCATTAATTAACAGTAGCCACTGTGTGACATAGAGCAGAGAAGAAAGAGATCAGGAAACCCCCTTCAGAGCTGACTATTGAAGGTATTGTTGTTGGAGTGTTTGCATATGCTCAGGAAAAAACAAAGGTTTGCGGTTAGAGCTGATCAGAGCTACATGCATGGAAGAATTATATACTAGTGCAGTATGGGATGCTTTGTAATCGAGACACTTGATTTCTGCAGTAAATCTACTGCACTTGATGCTGCAATAGATACAACCTTTCCCAGTAAGCAAATGCCTTCTCCCAGGATGTCTGAGCACATGCTGATAGGACAGGCAAGGTGAAGTTTAGAAGCCCAGAAAAGGTGCCTCTATGAGAACCACACAGGGGAATAATCAAAGGGTTTTTAGAACTGTGTTTTTTAGAAGCAGTTACCTTTTAAACTAAAACCTTTTTCAGCTCCAAGTTTCTCCAGTACTTTAGTCCATGGTCCTCTTGAAATGAATCTTCCTTTAGATGTCACCAGCACTATAGAGCTGAAGGAAACAAAAAGTCATTTATAAACAGGTGAGGAGTTAGGAACCATTCCTTGCTTTTCTGGCTTGAGCTCTGTTAACCCGTCTGTGCAACCCCAAGTCACCTATGAGCTGCAATGCTTTCTGCTTTAATGGCTTTTGTCAATGCTGACAGCTTAGTCATATGGTCACTTTTCCAATAATGCCAACAAAACCTATTAGGAAGCAGACAGAATTCCTTTTTTTTTTTTCTTTTCTTTTTTTTTCTTTTTTTAGTTACTAGTGGAAGTTTTGCTATGACATTTAGTAGGGCTGGGATGCCCTGTTCTTGCATATCTGCGAGGCAGAATAATTGAACACCTGCCTAGATGAAATAATTTCATTCCACCTTGCAGGTTTCCACAAGTGAAGCTTGTCTGACTCAACTGGCATTTGCAGTGCTACAGAATGAGAGCCTTGTTGGGTCTGCTTTGCTGCATCACAGTGGACACAAGTTGCTAAAATTAATTTGGCAGCAGTGCCTGCAGAGCTCCAACCCTGAGCTGCTGAGTGCTGCAGTTACACCCGAACAGCTGCACTGGATATGGAACTGTTCAGGGGAAAACAGCACTGGGTGGTGGCAAAAGGGAAGTAAAAGAATTATGATCCATCGGGTTTCTTCCTATAGTAAACCTGATGTGTTAAATAATCCATGAGTTGCACTGCTGAGCTGCTTTTGGCTGCTTTGTGAATGCTCTTTTTTCTACTTTGAGTTCAGTAAAATCTTTAATTTCTATTAGGTGTCTTCTTTAAAATAAATTCACTTAATGTTTTGTTTTCTTACTCCTGGAGAACTTATCAAAAATTGATTTTTTGGCTTAAAAAAATGGAATTTGGCCTGAAGAGAGTTGCTTAGAGGAACTGAAAGACTTATTGCTAGAAGCACTTCCTCTCACATCCACAAAGCTGTAAATCTATTTAAAGGTCTTTTGAGCAGTATCTTGATGAGAGGCTGGCAAGACATTCTGGAATCTGTGCTGAAGAGGGCAGAGAGCTGTCCTGTCCCTCCAACTGCACGGTGCCCACCTGCAGCTGGATGGCACCTCGTGCAGCAATGGATTAAAGGAGTTTCGTGGTCATAGCTGAAGTCTTTGCCTGATGGGACTGGAAAGGCCAGCAGGGGGAGGGCTGGGAAAGCTTTTGGTTAAAGGAAAAGAATGTTTTGAGTTTTCAGCCCTCACAAGGGCACACAGCTGAGTGACACCCGAGGTGCTGGCTGTTTTGCATACAGATCCAGTCCTAATTGTAACCTAATCCTAATTCCAATCCTAATCCAGTTCTAACACTCATCAAGATGAAACAGTGAGGCTCAGCTTGACTTAAATGCACCTAAAGCCTAATTAACAACTCATCCTCTAAAGTAAGAAAGAACCCAAGCAGCAGGCTTTAGACAGGTTTAAGATTGTACTTTTTAGCAAAAAAATGATGGGTCCTTTTTTTCTTTGATTGTTTAATGAAAGAAAAGTGAGTAACTAGCACGCTTTTCTGTAGTAACCACTTGACATGTTTTTTGCAACCTTTAGAATTATTTAGAACATTTTTTGTGTTGACAAGCTTGGTACCATGACAAAACTTCCTCCAAGTCTGTAGAATAAATCCTAGAACAGCACCCTGTCAATCTGCCCACCAGGTGGCTCATCAGCAAAGCAATCACATTTGTATTAAATGTTATGTACTGGTTTTCAAATCAAAACAGATTTCATAGCAAGGAAAGGTATTCACTTCCCATAGCATTCCACAAACCATCGTAGGAACAATCCCTTTGGATAAAAGACTTCTGATGCTGTTTCCTTCACTATTCCAGCAAATAAACCCACTGTTCTCCTATATGCAAGAACATCTGGTGGGTAATTAGCACCCACCTGAAAAACTGCATTTCTAGGTGCTTAAAAAATGAAGCATAGAGACCTTAGGTATGAGTAGGGGACAGATGCAAAGAGGAATGTATTTTATTAGCAGGACTTTCTGCTATTTGAGAAAGTGTGCAGGCAGTAGGAAAATGTAAACTGTACATCTGTACCAATATGTGCTCAAGTTTATTTCTGAACTTAAGCCTTCTGTTGTCTCTAACCCACAGCATCAGTGTGGATCTGCAGTTTATTAATCAAATGTAGCTTACTGGAGGCTCAATCAGTTCCTAAATCTCACTCTGCACCCTCAGCTGCCTGCATGTCCTGCTCACATTTGGACTCAAAGTCAGCAGGTACAAAAGCACACACTGTTAGCTCAGTCAGTCTAGTCCATGTTAGGTGACCAAAACCACAAAGAATGTGTTATGCAGCATTCTCGTATGCTATGCCTTACCAGCACCAAATTACTCACTGATTTCTGATGTTGTTGACATAGTTTTCTATCTGTGCTGGGATTCCTTGTAGAATTGAGTTTTTGAATGTTACTCGATCAACTACTTTCCCATGATGTCCATCGATCACTATCAGCTGAATACCCTCTTCGGTGAGGAAATACCTTACACCATCAACCTGTGGGAGGGGGGAAGGAGCATTATCAGTTTATTGAAGAATCACAAATGCAAAATAATCAACTCTAAGAAGCACTAATAGCCTTGAATTAGGGGACTGCTTATTACATCAAAGGGCAGATTTCCAGATCTCTGAGGTCAAGCTGACCTGCTTTTTTTTTAATTATTTTTTGTAAAATTCAAAGGAAAAGTGACTCAAATCTTTTGTCCCATAAAGTTTACTGAGAAGACCCATTTACCTCAATGTATGCATAGTCATCCTTCAGGTGGAAGTATTGTTTCTTATAAGTTTCTATTTTCACTTCTAGTAGGTGGTCCTTCGTTTTCTGTTCAGAAAAAAAAAGAAAGAAAAAAGAGTTTTTAATGAGGATGTCCATTACGTGAGTGCTGCACCTTCAGTAAACATTTTAAAGCACAAAATTCAGTCAAGAAGACAGCTACAGAATGAGCTGTGACTTGCCAAATTGCATTGCTAATGAGACTGGGCACAATGGCAACCTCTCTGCTCATCCTGTCTACATCTAAACTGTTTCACCAAATGGCCGACTGTGATTCTCACTTCATGGTGCTTATAGACAATTCTCTGAGGCTTTGCTATGATTTCCTGCTTCAAGGGTGATGAGATAAATATCCTCCTTCCTTTCAGAATCAGACTGGATAGAATATAGGACACACAGCATTGTGCAGAATCCTATATACAAAGGAGACACTCAGCTGCGCAGTCCCCTGTCTGCTGCTGTTGTCCTTACAGCTTGGAAAGGCAGCTTGCATCTCTCCAGCATCTCATTCCCCGGACCAAGCCCTCTTCCAGCTCACCACTATTTATCCTGTTTTTAAGCATGGCACTTCCCAACAGAGACTCAAAAGACTGGGTATTTAACTTGAACTGCTCTGTCCTTTGAACACTTTCATACTTGGCACTTGCAAGAATCTGTTTCATACAATTTCTCATGTCTCATCCACTTCATAAAAACACGCATGAAATATACTGAATCCATTACAAAGTCTTTTCATGAGTAGAGGAACAATACGGGCTAGAATAACAGACAATTTTGTGATAGGAAATCAACTACTTTACCAGCTGTACAGTAGACAGCTTCTTAGGCATTGGCACTTCTACTACAGGCGTCTCAATGTACTTGGGGTAAGCCATGGCTTGACAGTCACTGACACCAGCAGTCTTTGGAATCATAGCTTTGATCCTTATTCGTTCACAGCCTTTGACAGAGCAGAAAGCAAATTTCTCCTTCTCATTTTGAGCTTTAAGTTTCAGAAACAGCAGCCTGTACATAAGGGAGAAAAGTGAAGAGCATCCTTGAGTTCAATGCAAAAAGGGACTAAGGTTCAGTGGACTCCTTCCTAATACTTTGCAATAATATGTGTGGAAAACCCTCTGTGCTGGTTTAAGGAGTTTATTACAATAAACATGTTACATACATTTAAAAGGATGCCTGCATCTCAAAAATGCTATGGGAAAGTCAGGAAACCTAAGAAAGGTCAGCTGACATCTAAACTGCCCTAGAGCTCTATTTCATAATGTCCATTTACACAGAAATACATAGTTTGTATTTTAGAACTCTTTCTTTAGGTCTCTTTCACATTTTCTTAGTTCTGTAAAAGAAAACAACAGACTTTGCACTCTTGGTTATTGTGCCTCCCTGTCTTAGGTCTTCTAAATGGTTGCTGTTCAAAACAAAAAAGGTTGGGTGTGTCTCCGGTTCAGTACTATGGTCTGCGTTCTTTTTTCTTCCTAATTTGTATTCACTTAGCAAAGCATTTCCCAGAGGAACTGGCAGGACAGCACAGCATGGCCTGCAAATGACTGGCAACTACAGGAGTCCCAAGAAAATTAAATGCTGGTCACATTCCCAGAAAGAATTTCTGGTTTTGCTGTGATCCCAACTGGTGGCATTCGCCAAACAGCTCAGAATTCCAGCAGCTTTCTCAAAAAGGTGTCCAAATCATCAAGGGCCATTTCCTTACCCAGTGTCCTCATCCCAGTAGTAGTATCCTTTGCTAGGATATCTGTACTCCAGTTTCTCCATTTGAGATACCCTATAAAAGGTTCCAGTTTTGATTGTTTTCTTCAAGAGACGATTGTGGATGTCTGAGAGAATGGAAAATGTCGACCCTTTAGGATAACAAAACCCTACTTGGATCCAGTCGTTCCTGAAATAGCAAAGACTCAGGTTGTAACAAGTCGACGCATTACTATTAATTTTCCTGCGCATGTTAAAAGCCAAACTAAATACTTCACTCCAAAATGTAACTTATTCTTTTCCTGGCCAGTTAAAATTGTAATGGCTGGGGATCAATCAATGCAATGTAAATTAGACATAACCTCTACGGGTTGGTTAAGCAACAGGGGTCAGATCTGCTCCTGACTTCCACACCTCTGACTTCTATGCACCAGGAATGCATTATCTAGGCTTCTAAAAAGGACTGTGTTATCTTCCAGGGCTTCCCCAGGGAGCCAACAGGAATCTGAGATGTCAAATGAAAAGATGGTGAACTCAAAGGAGTTCCTGGAACAATTATGTTAATTCTGGAAGAGTTCACACAGCAATGACCTCACCCACTAAAAATGTGCAGTTACATTATTAAGCTGGAATGTTGGAATTCAGTTGGATCACTCACTTGTTGAAGTTGATGAGCCATATGGTCAGCTCTTCAGGGGCTGTCTTGTCCCAGTGAATGGTGTAGCCTTTCCTCAGAGTTATAACTGGCTGATATTGCTGGTAATGAGTGCTTTTGCTCAAAGCCCCTTCCAAGTAGAGTGGGTGATTGTGGTAGTCATTTTTTATTATTTTCATTTTGAGGTTGGCTGGCTTGTAGGCTTGGATGTATATCTGGATGAAAAAAGATCATCAACTGTTTAATGAATTACAGTAAAACATTAAAGGTTCAGCTACTCTACAGCTGTGAACTTGTGTGAGGTCAGTCACTTCAACAGTGACCTGTACACCATACACTTAAAACATGTACATTCAGTTTCTTCAGCTTCTTTCTTTTTAAAAAAATAGACTGTTTGGGTGTTTGTTTTATTTTTTAATAAAAAATTAAAAATGGGGAAATGTAAAGATCATTTCCTTATTTAAAGTATGTCAGTTAAGGCCCCAGATAGGCCTACAGTAGAGCTGAAGTATTAATGGAAAACATTAATACTGTGGGACTGTGGGGCTGTGGAACATCTGACTTGTGTTAAACAAGGACCCTTCTATCTGGATTTGAGAAGGAAAACCAGCTCAGTGGTTACAGCTTGACTTCAGTGGCACTGTGCTGAAAAAGCAACACTCTCAACACCTAAGACAAAAAAAAAAAACAAAAACCAAAACCAGAGAAAAACAAGGACTCTCTCCAGACAGTAGGGTGAAAGCTCACATGGTGGGAAGAATGGTTTTGGTGGTTACTCAACAGGATGATGAAAGACCATGAGAGCTGAAGTCTAATTTTGACTCCTCAGCACGCTTACCATAGTCCTGTGGGCAGCACTTCCCTCCTTGGAGTGAGAGGAAATAACCCTTCCTTTCCCAGTAGCTGGTAGATTTATGAATATTAATCTGCTAGTGCTCGTGGGGTAAAAGCTGTTTCAGCCCAAAGTGTCCAAATCAAAGCACAAGATCTTCGTATTCAAAACCTCCTGCGCACACATGCAGTTAAACCCCGAGCACTCTGCAGAAAGCACGTTTCTAGAAGTCATGCTTTACAATGCCAAGATAATTAAAGTGATAATGATGCATCAAATTAAGCAGCTTTACCTGTGCATAGTGTCCACTGCAGATAGAACCTCTCCAGTCAGGCACATCAATGCAGTCTGGGTGTTTGATTAACCAATTATCTTCTTTTATCAGGTAAGAGCCTGGATATTCAGACACAGAACCATCTACGTCATGAAAAACAGATGTTTTATCACCATCCATATCCAGATCATTGAACCAGGGTCCAGGTTCTCCAAAGAAGACCCTTGAGGTAATCTAAACAAAATAGTGAGACACATTCATGTCACTAGAAAGGAATTAATTACAGTACAAAGCAAAGGAAGCTGTGGTCACTGAAATGGCTCAACAGACCAGAAAGGTTGTTGGCTTTGGGGGCAAACTAATATATGAAGAAATCAGTGTATGCACTAATATTGTCATTCTTCAAACAGCCACGGATTTTTGGCTGCTCAGCATGACACACTGCAGGCCTGATGTTCAATGGCACTGAAGCTCCATGCCTCCAGATGAAGTTTGGAGTGGCAGGTATTCCGAGATAACATTTACATGCTAACAGAACTACTAACTTCTGAAACGGAGCACCCACAGATGAAAGCATCAAAATCAGTTTCGATTGAGTTGGTCTTGTTAGTTGGCAGAAACATCAGTGCCATTTGGTGCAGGACTGTTAGGGTTTCCTCTCCTTTACCTGTACACTGCCTCTTCGTTAAGTCTGAAGTTAATGTAGAGCTGGGTCATGCTTCTTAAAGGTGTGTCTGATTTGTCAGAGAGAGCAGACACAGATTTTCCTGTTGACCTCGGTGGAAAGGCTAAAACAACTAGAATTGCAGCTGTAGCAATGAGAAGGTTTGTTTTAAAATTCTGGAGGAAGGTTCAGGAGACAATTTCACTAAGGCCACTTCACTCATTGTCTGATAATATATTTTTAAGGTTCCAAAGCCACATAAAGTCATACCAATGCTGGGAAAAGTCAGCGACCTCCTTTGGGAAATGACTGCTCAGGCAACTTCTGACTGATATTTTTATCCAGCACAAATAAATGTCATGTCACCAGCCTGTTTGGTGTGATGTGAGAGAGTGACAGATCAACACTTTTAGCGGAATTTTGCCTTTCCCATCGTATTTGGCACAAGGACCACCAACCAGTCAGCACTTTTCCTGACATCTGAGCAAGTCTGCTAACTTTCTGAAAGTTAAGCAACCCAAATAATTTCACTTCCAACCACTTTATTTATTTGTTTGTCATGTTTGGCAGTTGGATTTAACAGCTGCTAGAGGTGAACATTAGCAATGAGTTCGCTCATATTTGTGCAAGCAAACACAGAAATAACTCTAAAAGCACAGACCCCCAGATGAGGTTCAGAGCAGCACCCAGAAGTTCATACTGTAACTCAGCATTTGTCAGCTTCTTTTTGGCTGGGTTCTGCTCTCATTTATGTCTGCAGAACTGGAGCCCATGTGCAGATTCTTCTCTCTGTTTTAACAGTTTCTGACACACACAAGAATGGAAGTGATTTTCACTTGACACCACTATTTTTTTTTTTATACTTCTGGTTTGCTGCAAACCAGATTTGCTCATTATTTCACCCATCCTACTTTCTCAGCTGCCACTCTCTTTGCTTCTGGCAAAGACAACGGGCAGCTCTTGCAGAACTCCTGTTTTCTCCAAAAGGCTGTTACACCCTTTTTGCCCATAAACCCACTTCCAAGCCCAACTGACAGGCCTTGCTGGGAAGGATAACTCACAGGGACGTCTTCAAAATGAATGTCAGTGACGTTGTTGTTTGGGCAGCTCTGCCAGGCATTGTTGAGCCTGAAGGCCAAGGCACTCGTGTGCCTACCATCCAGGGCAGCAAATTTGCGGAAGGTGCAGTTCTGGACATTGATTGGGCCATCGTAGAACTGAATGCCTCGAATGGGAAAATTCCTAAAACACATTGGAAAGAGACAGACAGTCATGACATAGGCATGAGGTTGATAATGTATCCTGGATGTGGACAGTCCTGCAGCACTTGATTCTCAGCTGCTTTTTTTTAGCAGCTCCTGAGTTAGTGTTTTGGAAGAGAAGGGATTTCCCTGCTTTATAGGTCTGTGAAGTCTTCTTACCCTTGTAAGTTCATCTCAAGTTCTCTCATGTTTGAGACTGATCGCCCTTATTTAGTCTGCACTCCTCAAGGGAAGGAACTTACAGCAATGCTAAGGCACTGACCTAGAAATGAATAAATTCATGCTGGCCATCACAAATGAGTTCTGCAGCAGCGAAACCTGAAACTCTTCAGGTCAGCACAGACTCCTTGGGAATGTACCAGCACATCTTTCTCCAACTGGAGGAGAAACAGTGTAACTCAAATGCAGTAAAAATGAATTTGAAAACAAGGAAAGATCTCATCAATCAGTTTGAAAACAATTGAGGGGACACAAACTTGTGAAACTTTATTAAAATAGAGCCTTTCCTGATAGAAGCTGCAAGGTAAAGATGACAGTGTTTTAACATTAAGTTAATGTGATGTTTAAATGCCTTAAGAGGAGAAGATATTTTATATTTCACTTATAATAAGCCAGTTTGATCCCTTGCTCGTATCAATGGTTGCAAGTTCACAGTTTTGCCGCTGTGAGTATCAGCACTCAATACTAACAATGATATACACCCATTTACTTAAATGGAAAGGACATTTAGGAGAGTCCTAGGCTTTTCATTATCACTACAAAAACCTATTGCATCACTACCAAAAAAACAAAGCTGAGACACATAACATGGCAGAAAAACATCAGCTGAGCTGTTTGGTCACCACAGAGCTACCATTAGGATAACTACGCTTTCAGGAACAACAGCAAAACACTACTTCATGTGCAAACCAATCCGTAGGACTAAAGAAGAGACCACACACAAAGTTCTCTGGATGTTTTGAAACTATTTAATGAAGGAATCAAATTCCTGTAGCACAGCTGTAATAGTAACAGTAGTGCTGAGCTCTGTAACTACATCTGGGCTAGGACTTTGGGATTGAGAGGCATGGAACCAAAATCCTTTGTGTGCAAGTTTCAAAATCAAACTGTGCTGAAGAAACCACTCTGTGCTGGAGCTGGTACTGAGAGTGGAAATAGTGAGTGTGATGATGTACTGAGCTGAACTTACGGGCCAATGGGCAGGGTCCTGCCCCTGTGATCCAGGCCACCAGGTCCCCAGATCTCATTGTCCATCGTCTCGGTGCCCAGGTTTCCACTCTCACCAACAAACAAGCTGTTCTTGATTTCTTGCTTAGACCCATCATCGTGAGGGAAGGTCCCACCGCTAGGAAGGAAAGGGCTGGAGGTGAAAGGCTGCTCACACCACCCCTGTGCCCCAGGCTGAGCACCAGCTGTGTGACACCTACCTTGCCAGGGTCAGCCCAATGCCGTTGTCTGCAAATCTGCCAAGAGAAGAGAGGTGTGTCACAAGGGTTTTCTTTGTTTAATCATGTCAATATACAACCATTGAGGTAGAGGGCAGATGGGCTTAGTTACCAAACAGTAGTCATGGGAGAACTCAAGATTTTTCATGCTTGTTCCTTTTTGGACGATATTTTTTTTGGCGCATCATGTGATGCATGGGTCACATGAAGCAGTAGATGTGAACCTGATTGCTCCAAGGGGGAGTTATGGCTGTGATTGCTGGCCATTATTTACTTGTCTGATAATGCTTTTTCCCTGTATCTAATGACCACACTCTTTTCACTGTTTGGTAAAAAATAGAATGTTCATCTCTCCCTCCAAATAGCTTTTATTATTTAATAATATTTTGCCTTACATTCTCCTCTGTGTTCGTGCATCACATGCTGCTTTCATGACATAATTCTACAGGGGGAAATTTTATAAAAGCAGCTTGGCTTCTCTTTCACTAACAGGAAGACAAAGATCAGACCTTCCTTATTAAAAACAAAAAATGGCAATGTTCTCCAATTTTGCTGACATTCTAAAGCTTTTAGATAAGATGACAACTTTTGATCCAGGCCTCCAGCTTACAGAAAGGCTATGAGTAATACGATATTTTGAGTTAATATCTTGATGGTATTTACACCAGTACATAAATGTCTCTATCACCCAACTCTCCCATACATTAAAGCCATCAGTGCAGAGCCGAGTAAAACCCGGCTCTGCCTTGTCCTGCTCCTGACTCTAGGTGGCAGTCCATTACACAGCATCGCCTTCCCTCTCATATCTGCGGCGCCATAAAACATACGCTGCATGCCACATTAACATTTGTTTTGTTAATGCAATACATAAGTCTTACTGTAGCAACAGAAACGGAAATTACTGTGGCCATAAAGACAATTACAGTTTACAAGCCGCTTCCTTGAATTCTGATACACCCATAAGATCACTACTGGAAGCTCATAAAGCAAGGTAATTCACTCAGAACATTGGTATCCTCTGTCTGTGGCACTCAACAACACAAACTTTACATGACATGCAAGAGATCTGCAAATACATCTTGTTGGTCACGCTGTGCCTCAGGTATCCCTGGCTCATAGGTTACCAGGAAGCACAAACAGGACGGCTCAGCATCACATTTCAGAGTGTTCTGCCACAATCTTGTTCTCACCAATCTGACAGGTTGCCAGAACCAGCCCACAAGGTTTGGCTCATTCTGAGGTAAGGCAGCCCTGCCAGCAATTGGACACCAGATAATGCTGAGGCAGATACCCGTGGCACGGTTATCACAATATGCCTTGTAAAGTAGCTTTTTCCTTTTTCTCCTCTTTCTTCCTTGTGGTTGATATCAAGAACCTGGCTCAGCAGAAGAAAATGCAGATGATCATCTGTTTTCCACTGCAAAAGAAATATCTGTTCTGACCAGCGCAGGAAATGGCCCTGAAAGAGCACAAGACACACGTGCCCAGTTTCTCTGCCTTGCTGCTGTGACGCATAGTTTCATGTCTGCCCCATCACTCCAGCTTATTCAGCATAACAGCCAACCACATAAAGCTGATCTGTTACCAGGCTCGGCCATGGGAGGTGGTGGATTTTGCTGCTCTCTTTCTGAAGCACCTCATTTTTCATGTAGAAAAAGGGTGCTGTTATTTGCATTGGTGCATGTGTGTTCGCACATTATCATTTTGAATGCCGGTCAGAATCACACACACAAAAAAAATCCCAACAACCTCAGAGATCTTCAGTTCAGACAAAAACAGGTTTTCTTTGTGTAAAATAATGCCTGGGTTTACGTAACGTTTCATCTTTATTTCAATCTTGGCCATATGAAAGGTGCAAAGCGGTATAAATAGTCTGAACCACAGCTATGCTCGCCATAAACACCGGGCTGAACTCTGAGAGTTGAAATAAGGCAAAACTCACTGGCAGTTGTCCAGCCACACATCTCCGCCCCGCAGCCAGGCCCCGTGATCCTGGTTCTTGTAGGCAATAAAGCGCTCAATTATTGCAGGTTCCCTGGGCTTCAAAGGATCAGCGTCTTTGTGTGGGCTGTATCTGCAACCAGAAGGAGAGAGAAGGAACGTTGGCAAGGGAAGACAGCCTTGCTTGGTCTACAGCCCTGCTAAACATCTGGTTTCTGCTAGCTGAGAGCGGTTCTGGGACAACAGTCCATCCAAGCAGCGCGTCTAGGCAAGCAGAGGTGGCCAGAGCCCTCTGCCAAGGGACAGCTGGTCCAGGAGAGGCTGTTGTAAAGACCTGCTCCAAGTTTCCTTTCACCTTGCCATTATTGTATAGCTGATATATTGCTGAAAGCATGGAAAGTTTATTACTGCTCCCAAAAGTCAGAGATATTTTTTAATCCTTTACTGTTTGTAGGATGGCTTAGGTCGGAGGGGACCTTACAGCCCACCCAGCCCCAACCCCCTGCCATGGGCTGGTTGCCATCCACCAGCTCAGGCTGCTCAGGGCCCCACACAGCTTGGCCTTGGACACCTCCAGGGATGGGGCACCCACTGCCCAGCTCTGGGCAGCTGTGCCAGTGCCTCACTGCTCTCTGAGTAAAGAACTTCCTCCCAACATCTAACCTAAATTTTCCCACTTCTGAAACCATTCCCCCTTATCACTATCAGAATGTGCAAAAATCTGGTCCTCCTCCTGTTTATACGCTCCCTTCATGCACTGGAAGGCCACAGTGAGGTCTCCCTAGAGCCTCCTCTTCTCCAAGCTGAACAAGCACAACTCCCTCAACCTTTCTTCATAGAAGAGGCTTCTGCCCTTAGCACACTCCTGTTTAGCTAAATACCCTTTTGCACCATTTTGAGCATCCTTCCTCCTAACCTTGGCTATGTTGTGGCAATGAGAATTCTTCCTCCTTGTGAAAAGGAACTAAAGTATCTTGGAGAGAGGCTGAGAGCAGCTCCTCTGCTATTCTCACCACACACTGCTCAGAACAAATAAGAGATTTTCTAGCTCTGAAGTTCTCAGTGATGATGAAATACTGGCCTGACACAGGGAAAAAGCAGACACAAGTGGAAGCTGCAGCAAAATGTGACCTCCGTTGCCCTTCTGCCTCCACTCAGGCAAGAGCATCCAAGCAAGGATTTGGCGCTGCTGAGCTTGGCTGCCATTCACCCAGGAGCTCTCCCTTTTGCTGCTGAAGGAGCATCTCCCATCAGCTCAGCACAGCTTAGAGAACCTGACAGCTGAGCATTCAACTCAGTGCCAGCAGCGGATGGTCCAGAGATTAAAATTCATGCCTCACCAACGGGTAGTGAGACCAAGCTGTCAAATCGCTAACAGATATTCAATAGCTCTTTGCTCTGCTTAATAAGCCATCATATCAATCTAAATCTGAGCACCGGGCTGATAGGGTTCCAGTAAATGAATATTACTTTGGCAGCTTCATCACAACGAATTTGCTTTCAGAGAGAGATTTAGTATCAGCCCTTGTGAATTCCCTAGACATTGTTAAATACAGATATTTTGAGATAGATTTCCAGTTTCATTCACATCCATGTGAATATCTGGAATAACACTATAGGGTACAGACTTTTGCCCAGATACTTAATGCTGTAACTGAATGCAGAATAATCTCTCCAGCTTTTTAACTGCCCAGCCTATGTCCAAGACTGCCCTGGCCAGTGTAGCTATAATCACTTAATCAGTCTTTCAGTCTCAACAAGTGAAAAGTGGAAAGCAGAAGCAGTACAAATAATCTGAGCCACAGCCTGTACTGCTGGGTAATCACCAAGCACAAACATGACTGCACATTGAATTTCTTGGCTTCCAGGGGTCATTCCTGCCTTGTAGGGCAAGGGACAAATTGCCTTTTGTAATCCCTTACTGTGCCTGTGGCAACCAGCAGTTTCCCGAGGCATGTGTTCAGCTATCTGGTCATCGGGTTCTCAAGAGAATTTAGAGGTATTTGCAGAGAAGATTTGTGTGTTTTTTTTTTTTTTTATGGTGGGTTTTTTTGTTGTTGCTGTTGTTGTTTCTTTGGAGTAATTTTTACTATTCAGCTAATTATTTCAATTAATTTGGCATTAAAACAAGGTCAATAATATTCATTTTTCAAATTCTTTCAGCATCAGCTGTGGGGTGGGGCACTGTGCTGATGCAGAGCACAGGATGAGTTCCCTGAAGAAGATGCTGAACCCACTCACACGGTGCTTTCCTAGTGCATAACCAGCAGTGTGGGCAACCTGAGCCCTAGAGATGGAAAGACAAAGGAAAAACTGAACAATCCCTTCCTGAGCAGTGATGTTTCTCTGCCCTGTTGGTTTCTTCTGTTCACAGACTCAGCCGTGGGAAAACGCCATCTGAGTGCTACGGAGGCACTGAAATCAGGAATGAAAACTGTGCAACTTGAGAGCATTTAAGTCTTTTTCTCTTCCTGGGGTTGGTAAGTATGTTAAGAGCCAGACTGACCCTCTAATGAGATAAAAGGGTGCAAGTGCAGCCCATACACTGGTACGCATTTCCTGCAAGAAGCCCTTGGCTTACATCAACCTGCTCATGGGGGTCTGCTTTGGGAAAAGACTGGGACTTCCCAGGAGCCGCCACTGAGTTAAGTCTGCTGATACACAATACTCTCTGTAAAGAGGTTTTTATCGCTTCTAAGCGACTCCGTTATGTCATATAGATGCCACACACAGCTCCAGGGATGGAAGGTCACACCACGCATTTAATCGTAATTATCACTGCAGTGTCAGATTTGGAACTAGGCAGAAATTGGAAATCAAATGTAAGCTCTGCTGCTGAAGTGTTCCCTGCTCAAGCAGGTCCTGAAGGAATGAAGAAGATCAACAGCATTACCTGGAAGTACTTTCACTTCCTGTTTGTGGAAAACTTGCAGCAAATTCTAACCAGCAGAGCTGTTGGCCAGACAGCATTTAATTTATCTCTGTCATCTACCAAAGAAATCAGTAGAATACCATATAGCAGAAGTAATATCTATGCCTGCTCAGCTCCAAGCTAAAGAGCAAAGACAGCAACAGGAAGATGAGGTCTGGGAGTCCTTTATGACAAGGAGATGAAGTTAGAAAGTGATAAATCACCGTGGAGTCACCATTCCTGGAGGTGTTCAAGAGCCATGGGATTTGGCACTGAGGGATGTGGTCAGTGGACATGGTGTGATGGGTTGGGTGGTTGGACTGGGTGAGCTTAGTGGTCTTTTCCAACCTTAGTGATTCTATGAAATTTAAATGAAATCCTTTCCTCAATAACTTCCACCCAAAAGCATTGCAATGATTTATATCAGCTTCCTTGGGAGCAACGTTATAGTTCTAAACCAGTACTATAGAGAAGTCTTTTCCAAACCAAGTGCAGAGCACCTTACCTCCCAGAAATCAGTGTCAGAATGGGCCTTTTGTCCTTGGCTGAGGCAGGAGTGGTTTTAACACCGTTATCGATGATCATTCCAGCCTGAAAGAAAATGGGAATGTAATATTATGGTTTATTTATATATTCTACAGTTCTTTCCACTTCCAAGTTCTGTCTCCAATTGTCCCAAGCCAAAGTATATGGCACAATCCTAATAACTGCTTCTGCTAATAATATATGAAACTGAGTATTGTCAATACCATCAGGAATTGCATGCGTCACCCCAAACTGCTCAACATTTCCTGAAACTGCAGCTCTCTTCTAAATGCACTCTCATACACCTAAACACAGTGCTGCAGCCTCAGGACCAGCAGTCCTCACCACGGCACCACACACAGCGTGCTGAGGGCAAACAGGGAAAGAGTGAGAGAAGGCGATCAGACACAGTGGCTGTATTTATTCTTTTAGAAGCCGTTTGGCTAATTGCTAACATTGGCAGTTGAGGTCTATAATTAGACAAGCTGCCAATAGATGCTCCTGCAGGCACTATTTTAGGAAAGCAGAAGCGAAGAATGAGCCTGGCGCAGCCAAGCAGAGGGAAGAACTTTGGTGCCCAGGAGCCAAGAGGATGCTGGCCGGCTCAGAGCGCTGCCACACCAGCCTGCAAGCTGCTCTATCTGCAGACACAAACAAGTTTGCATGAACTTTGAGCGAAACAGAAAGCACAGGCATTAATAGCTTGCAGATCCGAAGAGCTGGAGCGAGAAAGCAATGTTTTTTTGACGGCAGCATTCCAGTTGCGTGCAGACTCACTCGGTAGTTGGAATGTGCGCGGTTGTTGGAAAATCTCCCCATCGGCATGTGCTCCGAGTAGCCGGGGGAATACATGCCCGCCGAGGGCCCCGTTGGCACGTGGTGCAGAACAAACCAAAAGCCTGTTTCCTGAGAAAAAGAAACGACATCTGAGCCTTCGCTTGAACCTCTTTGCTGGTCTGCATTAGCCCAAGGATTTATCGATAAATCCTCAAGACGTAAGCCAGAAGATTTCAGGACAAATCACAGCTAGCAGCACTGACCTGTCTAACTGTGCTCAGCAGAGAGCTGAACTCACATATTTACAGTCACTCCTGTGCAGCAACAGCAGGCTGCTTTAATTTAAACTGTGACATCTATCTTAAAGTTACATGACTTTTCCAACTCACAACACACACATACATTGATGCCCTCCCATCCGTGCATGCACACATCTTAAAAATCACATCCATTTTATTTAGCTGTCTAAAATATATTTAGGAACCCGAACCTAGGCAATCAGGTTCTGAACTTCTGGAAAGACCACATCTCCTTGTTTAAGGCTTGGTTTGCTTGCTTATTTGTCTTAGTAGAAAATTAAATCTCCCAGTGTGACCAAGGATTTCTGTGGAATTAGTGTTAGTGTTGATTGAGATTTCAGGGCAATGTTACTGTACTGCAATCAACAGAATCATTGCCAAAGACTTCACTGGGACTCTGCAGCCAGATATATTTCATTTATTCAGGCTGCACACTGTGCAAAGGCTGGGAAGTTTTGTTAAAGCTGTCCAGCTCTAGAAACAGCAAGTGTGGAGAAGTAAGAAGTATGGAGCAAAAGAAAAAACATTACCTTTTATTGGCAGCACTAACCACATTAATATATGTCTCTATCTAGCAGTTTCAAGAATGCCTGAGTAACAGAAGCAGGTTTTATTCCAATAAGAGCCTTGGCTCGCAGGGCCCTCAGCTCTGAATCGTTACCAAATAAGAAACTTCTGTACTCACTTCAGACCCCGCAGCTGCACAGTTTATAAGGTTGTTGTGTGGGTTGGCTATCCAAAAGGTGGATACAGCGCTGCAGATGAGGAAAACAAAGAGTGAGATGAAAATGACACTTTGAGCACACGCCAGAATCACAGCTCAGCTCCCCACAGTACAGGCATGGCTGATAAGACCCCAGATAAGGGGTCTTGCCCAGGGGCAAAAGGGCTGTTTGTTGTTTTTCTTTCTCTTCTCATACCACATTTGTCCTTTGTGGTTTGACAGAGAACATGGCCTTATCTCTTAAAACCCCAGAGTATTAAATGAGGAATTTCTATTGCAATTCCAAGCCTGCTATGAAGCTGTCAGATGTCAGTCATGTTTTATGATAAGGTAAATATGTTGTTGCACAAGCTACAGAAAAGCATTTGCCCCCAAATAAGCCCTCAGGTTCATTAGAGGTTTGTTTAATCAAGGGACCCAACGAATTCCCTCTCTAAAGGCTTTGCAAGTATACTGTAGCACGTGCTTTTACACAGAGCTGCTGTGATTCATTAACTTTATTTGCTCCCACCCCACTATGCATTGCATTTCTTCTGGGACAAAGGGACTCCATTTGCCCAATGCACATAAAAAGACTCTTAATTGAGAGATTCCCATTGAGGAGGAAAGATCAACCTATCACTGTCCATCCGGTGACATACAGTCATCATTAACCAACGGGCACAGGAACTTTGGGAGTGAAACATCCAGGAGACATGTGACTCGCTCCCTAAATTTGCTGGGTGGGATTCACCCTCCTGAAGGGGATGCACCTACCTAACCCTTACATCTCTTCCATGAAAGACTTCAAGAGGTCTTTATATTCTAAAGGAATTTCTGGTCTAAGGCAACATTTGATACATGTGACTGCATCATGAAATCGTACAAGTCTGGGCTAGAAAAAACAACTTGAGATTATTGCATCCAAATGCAAAAGCAAGGCCTTGAATCCGCTGTATTTCCCAGTGACCTGTCTCAGCCCAGCCCTGTTCCTCACAGCCATGTGCACTGGGCATGTTACTGTGTCATTTGGCACAATCCTATTGTCTTAATTACCAGCAGCAGCTGCCTGCTTGCCTCTTCCAAGCCAACAGAGCCACAGCTGGCACTCATCCCTCATCCCTGGGCCGAGTGCCTTGGCTGCTGCTCATGGGGATGGTGTGGGTTGATGCACAGGGCAACCATGGTGTGGTTGTGCATTAGCAGGCTGGATGAGCACAGTGCAAAACTCTAATCTGTCCTTAAATTCTTTTATAAAGGAAGACGTGGCGGATCAAAGTACAGTAGAACTTTTTCATTACACATCAGCATATCATTCCTAGTACTATTTTTCTGTAATAATATTTCAAATGACACAAAACATGTTCAGCTGACAATTAAGTGAATTATGTGGAAAATGAGAACAACGGCTGATTTACTCTTATTTTATGAATGGATACATTAAGTGTCATTTATAAACAAACACAGATGTGAAAGAAAGCACTGCATGAATTTCATCCCTTTCTCTTGCCAAAGTGAAAAGCTAAAAATATGTTTCTCTGGACCAAACCCCAGTTAGTTCTGAGGACAGAATGGATGATAGTGATAGAGTCTCAGCAGACTAAGAGTACTTTTAAATGAAAGAAAACACCCAAAGATTTTTAGCTGTTATTAGGCATCAATCAGCTTCTCACTATCTCATTTTGAAGACAGCAGTCTGGCTCTGGAGACTTTCTCATTGACTTCTTGTTGGTCAGAAATTAGGTTTTTTTTGTGTCATTTTTTTCCCCTCAAACTACACCAAAAGAAAACCCTGAAGAAAAATCTGAACAGCCATTTCTCCCAGCAGCATCAATGCAGCAACAATGCTCTGTGGTCTCAAGGCAAAACTTGGCTGTGGAGGAACTTCCCTCCTCTTGCACAGCAGTCTTACTGTCAAGCTTTGATGATCACCATCAATTCAAAGCTTCTGAAGGATGCCCACATATTGCGCATCCAGTGTCCACAAATTTGCTCCAGATTATTTGCCAAAGTCCCTTCATTACAGTTGCTTTTCCAGCTGTTAACTACACAGGTTTCACTTTAAGAGTTTACTACTCTCTCAGGAGTTGGTGTGAAGGGAGAACAAGGAAGCTAATGAGACACCACACATGCATTAAAATGAGCACTTTTTCCCATTCCTTGGCTGTACACCTTGATTTTGAGGGAGAAAAACAGCATGAAAATCAGGGGGAAAATGGCCAGAATGGACTGCAGGAGCTCAATGAGTCCATACTCTGTTTTATGGTAGGATCAACTGCAACAACGGTATTCACGAGTGGTGTTTCTGTAACCTGCACTAAAAACTACTACTAACAAAAAAACCATGAATCCTAGCAAGAACATACTCTAGTGCTTAACTATGTGGCTAAGCTGGTCATGTTTCTTCTATACTTCATTTGATTATTTTTTTCTACAGGCAACAGAACTGCAAAAAAGAACTTGTGAAATCCCTTCTCATTGCAAATGCTTCTATAATCCTCATCTAAACCTCAGTTGGCAGATCTGAAAGGACACTTAGAGGAAAGGATCTTGCAAAAGGGAGATGAAAGGCATTGAGTATTTTTCAAGTTTAAAACTGAAAAATAGAAGTTTTGGGAAGTTCTCATGGAAACATTTTCATGAGCTTATGCATGGACATTATTAGTGATCCAACAGGCATATACACTCTTTGGTCTTCTATTGCCAAGCCCTAATTCTGTGCTAAACTGCATTTATTACACCACGTTTGTTTTATTCTTCAGTTTGGGTAAACTGCCAATAGATGCATAATGCCAATCCCGTATCGTTAAACTGTATCTGTTCTCTGCAGATAATGGCTTCAGAATAAATGGGAGTGTTTTCATAATCAACTATTGTTCCACATGGGCACTAATGTCAGAATCAAGCTCATTCTGGGAACGCTTTATTGAACCACTGCAACACCTGAATGTGCAAGGCATAATCCTATTTTAGAAGAGATTTCCAATAATATCTTAGGTAGCAATCATCACAATTGGCTTCATGGTAAAAATGAAAATTACAACCCAGGTGTGTAGACAACTAAATAACACAAGTGGAAAGACCCTGAAGAGACTGCTCTCCCAAACTTTGGGAGGATGCAGCCAAGACTTATAAAGGTGACAACATCAGAATACATTCACAACATTTTTGTGGGTAAATCCTGCAACAATAGAAAGAAGAAAAGAAAGGCTCCCACTCACCTACAGTCTTGCCTGGGTTTAGGGATGTACCCTGGGTAAGCACCCTCTGTGATCAGTTTGCACATCCTGCTGTCTCGGTCAGAAGGGAGCAGAGTGCTGGGTTTAACAAGCAGTCCAAGGCAGTGATCAAATGTGTTGCGCTCTTCTGGTCCATCCTCCGTAAAGAAACAATGGCCCAGTGCATCATAACCCACAACATCCTTCACCTGCAGGTACAAAACAAAGGCCAAGTTTCATCCTTCAGCCATTACATGTAAAGAAAAGACTTCACAGTAATAGCACTCCAGTATACTCTTGAACTCAGGGTGTACAAGCAAAAGCAAAAGTAAAAGCAATATCACTTTCTACTCTTAAGAGTCCATTGCGTAAAATAAATTTAGATGTGGGTGTTGCTAACTAGAATTTGTTATCTTCCCAAAATTTAAATTCAGCTAGAATTTGTTGTCATCTAGGAAATGCCAGTTCCATTCTTTTGTCTATCTGCAAAATCAGACTATCTTAGCATGAGACTGGAAGAAACATGGGGTGCGGAAGTGAATGAAGGATGTCGGATGTTCAAATTACATCAGGGCTCATTCATCTTCACATAGAGTTACACAAGCAGCTACATAAAATACATCTGAAAAATGCAGCTGAGCTGAAAAAATATTTTTTCAGGCTATCAGAGAGGTGGCAAGTCTTTTTTTCCAGACAGGCTGGCTTGTTTTAGCTTTGACCTGATCCTTTTTTCCAAGTTGTTGACAGAAGCTTTACTTGACCCTGAGACAAATCAGCTGGTGTTAATCAGTGCTGTTCTGGTTTGGGTTTCAACGGTGTTAACATCAGAACACTATTGTATTGGACAGAACAATACCCATCAGCTCACTGGAGGATCTGAAAAAACAATTTCAGGAGCAGATACTTGAACTCAAAGCCTAAGGCTTGGATTGGCTGGAAAACAACAACCCTCAGTGTCCAACAAGTTAGTTGTTAATATATATATCTGGAATATGGAAAATGAATTTCAAGCCTTCATGTGCCTGGTGAAATGCTGTCTGTCCTGGGGTCTCTCTTTGCTTGTCCCATCAGCCTTCACCGATTACCTACCTTTGACCTGGGAAACCTTTCTAGCAAAGCTTAGATAGATACCAGCGTTTTCCTGCAAATGCTTCTTCTGAGATAGCAATCATGAAGGGACAAGTAAGATATTAAAATGGACACAGAACCCATTCTTTACAGGGTTGTTGAAAGATCTTAACTCCTAAGCACCTGAATTGCTTTTGCAAGCAGGACTGAGATTCTTCTGTCATCTACATGCCTCATCTTGAGGCCAGGAGAACCAATTTCAAATCAAATCCCAAGACTAGTGTTGAAATGATTACAAGAATGCTTTCACTTAAGAGAGAATACTTTGCTTGCCAAATCTACTGCAAGCTTACATTTGCACACACATCTATTATGTATCATCCATGCTCCAGTGTAAATACTCAAATCTCTGAACATAAGTCACCACAGTAAATTAAACAGAGTTAAAATGACCTGCAAAGTGGTACATTCCACTAAAATACTTCACTAAAATTTACTGCTAACTTCTCTAATTTAACTAGATGACAGCTTTTGCAAGGTCGAGGCTTCTTTATTTAGGCATAAACAGTATGTACTACATTGAACCATCCCTCCCTGGATACATGAGCTGTCCCAGCCTTGCAATTATAAAGGTTTATGGGATAGGAGAACATCTCATTAGAGTGACCTCTTTTCAGATGAAGATTTCCAGTGTGTAGAGGAAGCCTTTCAATCTCGGAGTTGTTAAAATTGCAGACAGCCACCAAAGATAATTAGTTTTCTCACGCACAACAGTAACACTGGAAAAGCAAGTAATGGTGCTGCGACATTTAGATGATGGAAATGGTTTCCTCAGAGAAACATCAGCCACATAGAAAAGTCATTTATCTCTCCAACCAGCACAGAGCTGCACCAGGACTGGGATATGAAAACTTGTGGCAATCAGATGACAGTGGGGCAAAGCCCACCACTATTCGTGGGATGTAATGTTACAGGAGACTATCACTCCCAGTTTGTTGAGAGGAGTGAAGCAGAAAGAGGAACATGCACTGGCAGAAGGGCTCAGAGCCAACAAACCCAATGTTGTCCTAGCTCATCCCTGAAAGCCCACAGAATAACACGGAGTTATCAATCAGGGGGACCTGGTCCCTTCTGTCTCTGTCACCCTCCATTTGATGAATTACTTTTCCCATATCTCATCTCCCGCTCAGCTCTGACAAACATACAAGTTTCCTGTATGTTTTTTCATGCACAAGCCCAGTACTGAAATGTTTGCATTGCAAAAGAACTGCGTGTTCCAAAAGATTTTTTCCAAAGGACTTAATTTTTGATTAAAACCTTCTTAATGGTCCATAATCTTACCTTAACCATGAGTAATTTATAGCCAGATAATGCCCTCCGTGGCAAAACAACCACTGTGCAGTACAGCTGGATTACTAAAATCAGATACTGCTTAAGTAGTCACATAGCTCAGCCTCTTACTCCATGAAGTACAGTTCTCCCCTGGATCCCGACAGAGTGTTTTTATTGACCTTCATTTAATTTCTTGCACTAATGGGAGTTTCTATTTTAAGTTGCCCACTGGGGTCCAGTGGACAGAGTGGGAATCAGAGTAAAGTTTGATCCCAGGGATTGCAATGGTGTAAATAGGTGGTTTTTATGGCCAACGTATTAAACAAAACATTGGGTAATTATTGGAATTGTCAAGAATTATGCTGAGAATTTCTACAGATTTGTTTCCAAAAGGACCCTCTGTGCCCCCTAGTGAATGTGAATTTGTAGACAAGCACAGAAAAACTCACTGAGGGAAATGAGATTCTGCTGGGACAGGGACTTTCAGCAGCACCACGCAGACCCACAGAAGAACAGTTCTGCCATCAGGAATAAATAGATGGCTCTTCAAAGCTTTTGCACAGGCATTTAACTACAGCCATGTGAAAAACCCCTTGGAAATCAATGGCCTACAGTTAAACACATCCTTAAATGCTACGTTATGCTGAGGTTTAACAGTCCACCTAGATGTTTTGCATGGCTATTTTCAAAATCTGGTTCATGTACATCGTCAAGGAGAGCTTTCCCTCAGCAAAGCATGCTATGGATCACCCTGACCTCAGAGGGAATGAATGTTACCTGGGGGAAAAAGGAGCTATTTGCTGTCTGTACAAATGCTGCTCATGCATGTAGAAACAGGTAGTGTTGCCCAAGTCAGAAGATAGTAGGCAGCTAGGCAATGCAGAGAATAATCACAGTACTCACCAGAGACCTATGTGGGTGCCTGTGAGCTTATCTGGGGCAGAAGGAACAGGAAAGGAAGGGAAATAGAATCGGAAAGCAGATGAGGAGATTGCAGTGGGATCACATGAAGAATCAAGGTTTGGAGCTGCTAACTGCAGATGTCTATCTGAGCAATGAAACACCATTTAAGTGATGCAACCTACGGAGTGCCTGTTCTCTGATGAAACTGAGCAAATAGATGGCTTTACTTCACTTCAGCTTTCAATTCAGCCATTAGCAAAAATTGAATGGTTAGAATAAAAAATAGGTTAAACGTAGAGTTTAGTATTGACAAATTTTGATAAATTACAATCAGCAGAGATTACATTCTTAACAGTTTAGATTTTAGATCCCAGAATCTAAGATTTCTCCAGGGTGCTTTTTCCTGAAGGGGAACCGTGGTCATTTAGGGAGCAGTGGCTGTTGAGTAACAGCAAGAGAGAAAGCTGTTTTCATCAGCTGCCTCAGTCTGTCTGAATTTCATTGTGTCATCATGGCTGAAAAGCATGAGCACATGCATCCCTCTGCCATGCATCTCCCATAGTTGTCCCCTGGAGAAAGCACAAGAGACAGAACTATTTCCCAATCCTCTATACAAATCTATTTATCTGACCGGTACAAAAAATGCCAGGCACAGAGCATTTGCTTTGGCAACTATTAATGAACAAGGAATTAAGATCTCATGTCAGACTGATAAGCAGGGCTCTAGCTGGTCTGCAGTTCACCAGCAGCTGTGCAAACTCTGTATACACAGATAGTGTGTTTATGGTGCCACTGGTAAGAGCCGTCTGTGGCACACAAATCCTGAAACAGTGCCCTTCTACTCTGCCTATTCACTGCATGCTCATCCCCTGTGCTGGTGACTTTGAATGGACAGTTCTCATATGACCCTGAGTGTCATATTTATATACTTTTTCCCTACAAGATGAGTTCAGTCACTAGATTTCATGTTATAAACTTAGAAGGACAGAGATCAGAAGCAGGATTCACAAATAGAAGATAAAAGCCATTCCTATTCTGGAACTGTCCTCACTTTAACTTCTGTGCATTTCAATTATGCCTGTGACTTCCATTTCCATTGCTGCCACTTTTGGAGGCAGTATCCTGCATTCCTTGCCAAAAGGAAGGCTTTGTATTTGAACTGATACTTCGGAAAAAAGTTGGATAGTCAAACTTGATGTTTATTCCATATCTTTAGCTACTCTGCTTTTGGGATAGGTATCTTTATACTTCCTGAATGCAAGTAAAGATTTCTCTTTTCTCCTGTCTGGTTTTGTGAGTGGAGCTGATTGGATATATAGTTTCAGGAGCAGCATTCATTCAGAACATTCTGGATCTTGGTTTCCTTACCATCATCAGGTGGTGGAAAATACCCTATGTTAAGTTCTTGGCGTGGTTGGCTTTGAAGATACTTTCTTAAAATGATGGGGAGTTCAAGACTAATAAAGCAACAAGGGCTGGGACCAACACAACTTATTCCTATCCCAGAAGTGCCAAAGGAACAACTGTGCCGAGGAACAGAGGTGGGGTGGCAGTGAAAAAAGCCTCCTGGGTTCCGTACCATGCTCCAGGATGCTCAGTATGATAATGTTTCCCTCTGCATGCTTACAACAAAGAAGGTGGCATCTCTACATCTAAGGGAAAATCTGACTGTGCTCCTAGCACTTCTGCTGCACTGTGAAGTGCCTGATAAGCATAGGTCATTATATAGATTTATTCAAAAGGATTTTCTGTTGCGGAGATTAATTCTGACAAACCAGAGCTCTGTGAATGTTTAATGTTGTGAATAGCATTGCAAACCCAAAGCTTTATTATAGGAGAGATGAAGGATACTTAAACCTTCTGATTATCGTCTTTAAATAGCAAGCTCTGGCTATAGTCAGGTCCAACTACTCATTAGAGATGGGCTGGTGCACAGACATCCCTGCCCAAAGACAAAAGCTCTGCCTGCTCTGATTCACACACAGCCTGCAGTGCCACTTCGTTTCCTCCTTTTTAAGAATGCAGGTTGAAATACACCTGGAACATCTATGTAATCAGGAGAAAGAGACAGATCCTATTTCTAACAATAAAACACCTTACATTGCAGTAATTAAGCTGTATTCACACTATGAGGAAATAAATTGACTGGTGCCTGGATCTATAAGGTAGGCATTGGGGTTTCTTACCAGCAAACCATTGGATCCGTGGATTGTGACACAGCGGGAGAAGGTATGGTGGATGGAGACATCCTTCACATATGTTGGAGGGTTGTAGCCTCCTTTCTCGTCTACATCTCCAGCCATGTGGAAGTGAATTGGGTAATGTCCCATTGTCTGCTGGCCCATATATTTCAGTTCTAGACCTTCAAGATGGGTAGCCTTAAAATCAAGACCGATCTGGAGAATGACAGAATATCAGTCAAGAAAGATAAAACGGTGTTGAGGGCAAGAGGGTGGGGGAATACAGGAATGTAGAGCAATGGATGTATCTGCTAGAGAGATTTACTACGTGCGAGAGAGTGTATGGCTGCAGGGTAAAGGAGAGAGTCATGATAGCTAAGGTGACCATAGCTCTTCTTTGATACTGTCACTGCTGCCATGGCTACTTTTGACTTCATTCTGGAAGAAAAAGACATTTAGATTTAATGTTTCCCATGAGTTTCAGTCACTTGGGCTCAAAATGAACCTCCTGTTTGGAGCACCACTGGAATTTAGGGAAAACTAGAATTGGAATATGGAAGTTATATCCTGGATGGGTTAAGCACCAGCCTCGCTGGGTACTGTCTGCATGGGTGTATTTCAAAGCTGAGGGACTGGCAGCAGCAGTGGGGTGGATCTGCCGCAACACAGGGAGGGGCTGCTTGCTCAGCAGCTGACACAAGAGATTCCTCCATTCCTGCAGCCTGACTTTCTCAGTACACGAAGGTGTGGCTGGGTGGAGAAAAGTGCAAGGGGAAGGCTCCAGCCCTACCTTGATGTGTCCCCCAAAGGTGTCGAAATCAAAGAAGGAGCACAACTTGCTGCTGTACTCATAGCACTGCCCCTCCATCTCGCCCATGATCACAACGTTCCTGCTCAGCAGCCCCACTTCTGCCCGCATGTCGACGCCATCAATGACTTCGCCAACGTGGAGGTACGCTGCTTTCCCTGCAGGAACAAGATCCATTTTCAGAGTTACTCTGCCAGCGCTGCTGGTTTCCCCTTGTGCTTCCTGTGGTGGGGTTGGTCGATAATGAAAAGAGCATTGGAATCAGCAAAAAACTGTTGGCTGGCTCCTCAAAAGGCGGAAGGCTGGAGCACAGGTGTCCCTCTATGTCCTGCTGAGACATTTTCAACAGAGGAAGTGGGATTTTTGGTCTGAAGTTGCTCCAGTTAGCCAGGGAGCTAAACCAACAGGCTGTCTGACAAAACACTTCTCTGACCTTAGAAAGAGACTGTGATCACTTCAGAACTGCACTTCAGAACCTCTCCCTGCCTGCTATCCTGAACTCTCAATTTAGATCTGTCTGCACATCTCCTGCTTGCTCCCAACACCTCCCTCTGCCCCGCACATAGGCAGCTGATAGGACTGCATGCCAGACCACATTGCCTCTAACCTGCCTCCACAAACACACCTGGCTCTGTGGAGGGGTTAAAACCACAGAGAGCCCTCCCTGCCCTGAACAGAAAGGGGTGAAGACCAGGCACTGTGGATGCCTAGAGAGCAAAATATTCTCTTTGCTGTAATTTCATTCAAACGTATTCATGCTCCTTCCTTCCTTCCTCAGCTTTCTGCAGAGAATGCAGTTGGAAAAAGGTTCATCTTACGGACTACATTCTGTATTATTCCAGTAAAAATAAGTAATAAACTCTTTAAGTAAACACTGAACTTTCAGGAATGCTACACTTGCATGTATTTCATTTCAGTGGAATCATTCAAAGCAGTGATTAGAAACAAATGGCAAGCCCAAAGCCTGGCTATCATTGTGAAGTACTTTGTGCTGCACTAGAAATGGCAAGTTGCGTGGAGGATTTTGAACACTGAAACATTCTTGTTTTAACCAAAACACACTGCTATGACTTTATAACAAAGATAAGCAAACACCATTCACTCCCCCTTTCTGCTGGTGCTGGGAGCAGCGTAGTTCAAAAGCAATACTGGGATTTGGGAAAGGTTGGTGCTCCTTCTTGCTGCCTGCAAGGCAAGGTCCACACCACTGTTTTCCATGGGCACGGGGTGCTGTGGGAATTGGATGCTCAACCCCAAAAGTGACGGCACCAAGAGGCCATGGGTTTGCATCTCACTTGTATTTGCAGTTTCTTCCCTGAGCTTTCCCACAGAGCTGCCATAAGCCAGGTCTATTCAGGTTTGTGGCCAACATCAGAACCCAGCTTAGCCCCAAAACAGCTCTGCTTCCCTTATTCACTGCTATTTAAAAAGCAGTGGCAGCGGTGTCCTCTGCACAGGGATGCCCAATGCTGTACCATTGAGCAGCTCTGCTAGGAAACAGAGCCCAGAGCCAAATGGTTATGAAACCATTTTCAAGCTGTTACTTTTTAGTTTCCCTCCAAGCTGACCTTTCCTTGATTTACTGAAGTGCAGGAAGAAGTTCAGATAATCTGAAGAATGTCAGATTATGTTCAAGCCACATCCCCAGGATTTGTGGCAGTGGAATTAGATGGGCAGTTTTGTTATTTATGTGCTGAGCTCTAAAATAATAAATGTCATGCTTGCATGTATTTAATTTAATTTAACACCAGTCCAGACATGCAAAATAGCATAAGTACTGGCAGGAATGTTAAATACGCATTAACCAGTTTCTAAATATAACTCCTTGGGTGCATGTTTTTCACTTTCTGCTTTTGCTGACTTGACTTGTTTAGAGATAAAAGGAGAGATGGAAAGCAATCCCCTTGCAATGTGAAAGTGGATTTTGAATAATAGCTCCTTTAACAGAGTTCTGAAAAACAAACCTCTCCTCCCAGCAGCCAGAAATCCAAGCTGCCCACGGCTGTGGGGCCATCCCACTGACATGGCTCATGGGAGACAGAGCCAGGCATGGGATCGCTCTGGTGATGTCAATTCCTGCTGGAAACTGGCACCAGGCACTTCCCATGGGGCCAGAAGCCCTGCGATGTGCGTCCACAGACACGTGGCACCTCCACTGGCACGGCCGGTGATTGGCATGAGGAAGGAAATCAAACAAAAGAGGCTGCTCCACGGTGTGCTTGGGCAGCTCACACGGCACTGGGAGCGTCCTACTGCAGGGCTGTAAACCTGAAGCCAGGCTGCTGCTCGTCTCCCCAAGGAGCAGTGTGACATCTGAGCACGGGCAAACCCAAGCCAGCCCAGAAGTGGTTTGGGGCAAAGAAAGGCAACTCTGTGCTGAGAATAGAGGAGGACTGTGCCTGCTGCTTCAGCATTAAAGCCAAGCCTAGGATTGCCCAAGCAATTATGAGTGCAGGATCACTGATTCACCATCTCCTCTCTGAGCACATTCATGCTGCATCCCTCATGGACAGATGTTGCTTTGCTGGTGAGCCAGGCTTGTGCTGTGTTATAATCTAAACCAAACAAAGCCGTATGCTGACACAGATTACATCTCCCCACAACAGGCCCGTGTGATTGAGCTCAAAAGAACGCCCTGGCTTTGCTGCTCTTTGTCATACCAGTACCTTCACTTAGCAAAATGTTAATTCACAGGGAAAAATAAACTGCATTAATGTATGGGCTTGCTGACAAAGGTCTTGATTCAGCAAAATAGGAGACCACTTCCATGCTTATGACTCAAGACAGTGACTATTAAAGTCACCAGTGCACTTAGTAAGGAGAAGGTAATTATTAAAAGAAAGTATGCATTAAGATAAACATAGATGATCCACTAATCAAAGACACACTTATGTCAACATCACAGCAATTCCGAGTTTCTCCAAGCTGTACAAAGCTCCAGGAAAACCTGCCATACCTGAACCTAACCCCAAAGCCTGGGCTCAGGCTTTATCACACTTGGGAAGGGTGGAAATGTAGAACAGTTTCAGAAGCTCCAGGTGTGGGTGGTGCTCTGGTGAGTAACACTCAGAGATGTCTCTAAAAAACCTCCCTGGTATATTTCTACTTTTCTAAATGCTTTGGCTTTAAATGCCATAAAGTGCCACATATCTCTTTCAGAAGTGAATCAGGCATCTGAAAGTCTGTATTTGGTGAAGATAAAGTGGAGCTAAGACGCTTCTGGATTTGTTCTTTTTCCCTAAGGAGTTTTTTGTTCTCCTCCAGGCTCTGCGGATTAGACCTTCCCTCTCATGGTCTTTTAATGCTTCCCACACCAGAGTTTCTAAAGGGAATCATAGAATCATTAAAGCTGGAAAAGACCACTCGGGTCACCCAGTCCAACCATCAGCACACCCCCACCATGCCCACTGATCACATCCCTCTGCATCACATGATCACATCCATTGCAGCACCACTCTAAATACAAACTTGCCTGCTTAATTCATGTAACACAGTGACAATAAATCCTTCAGGGAACCTTTAAAACCAGTGCAACTCATTGCAGATGCCAGCCCACACTTCTGTCAGATTTAGCATTTTTGCCAAGTGTTTGTCATCACTGGTGGTTACGTCCCTGTTGCTTTCTATTTAATAATTGATAAAAGTTCTCACAAACATCCTATCAAATTGTTCTGAATTGGTTTGATGGGATTTGCTCTTGCATGCCTCAAATGCAACACAGCATGGCTTGAGAGATCTGACCAGCCTCGAGTCATACATTACATCCTGACATCTTACTAAATAATTATTCCTTAAATCGAGGGAAAGCAGGTTTTAAGTGAAAGGACTTATAGTAAAAAGGATGAAGCTTTACAAGGAGTTCAAAGCAGTGCCCAGAGATAGAAGGAAAAGACTGCTGAACAGACTGCTAGAAAGGTGCCTTACACAATGCTTCCTGCCCAACCCTCAAGCACCAGGGATGCCTCAAAAAAAGAACTTCTGGCGAGTTCCAGCAAAAAATGATGTCAGCTTCTGAAGAGAACCCTCTAAATCTCTGAAAGTATCTGAATTTTGCTGGTAGAGTAACTTCTCCCTCCTTCGTAGCACACAACGAATGGCGACACAGGCAGTTTCTGGGAAGTTGTTAGATCACTATGTATCTACATGTTTAATTCAAAGTTCTCTACATTAACAAGTAGCTCCATCTCTCTGTAGTATTCCCTGCCCCATAAGCAAGATTTAAGATATGTAGGCTCATAATAACAGATTCACTAATACGTGGGATAATTGAAGTAATTATGCTATGCACAAAAAGGTTTTTCTTGTTTTATCAAGAGCACATAGACACACAAAAGGGCATTTCATCCTTTCTATTCCATGGTGAAACTTATCAGCATTGGTAGTAACTTCACACAGTGCAGCGAAGATGCAGATAAGACTTGTTTCCCAGGGAAACTAGACCAAATACTTGATTTTCCTACTATCCAGTGCTGCCACAACACAACCCTTCCTTCCTTCCTTCCTCCTCCCTCCCTCTGCCCTGTGCCATCGTCCCTGCCCTTGGGAACCTGCAAGATCAAAAGGTTTTAATCTGTTCCCACAGAGGAAAAAAAAAAAAGAGAAGAAAAAATCAAACAAAGGAGGTCAGTGGAGAAAAGTCCTCCATTTATCAGAGTGACCGTCTGACCAGGAGCAGGACCTGCAGAGCTGAGCCCTCGCCCAGGCTATGCTTCCCTGTGGGAGCAGCAGTTTTGACTTGAGCGAAGTTGCTGCGATAAGGGAGCACATAAGATCAGTCCCTGCGTGTCCTCCCTTGCTTCCTATACTGAGATTGTCAGAAGTCTGGTTAGACACCCAAATCCGACTGAAAAAAATCCTGACGGTAATTGAGTATTTACTCTTAAGCTTTTTGGAAAAGCCCAGCCTCTAATCAGGCCACTTCTCGCCAGTAAAGCAAGTAGGAAGTATCAATATAAATGGGGCAGGACCTAAACAATAAGTCTGACTTTTTTGTCCTAATACACTAAACTATGTCTATTAAACTACTAGCAAATGATGAGAGCACCAATTATAATTAAACCTTCTTACGCCAAACAAATCAGCTGTCCACACAGATGAGTTTTTCTGCCTCTTTTTAAAAAAGTCTCTAAGTAGTTCAGACCTGAAACTCAAGTTTATTTCCAAAAAAGAAAGGATAAAAAAAAATAGAGATTAAAATGAACACAACCATCTGGGTAGGAACGGTTTTATCATTTTTCTTTTAAAGGACAGACTTCAGGAGTTCTCAGCTGCTAAACTAAAACTCTCGAGATAATCAGGCCACGCCACTGACTACAAATGACATCCCTTGAGACGCCGTGTATAAATATATCTGCGTGGAAGCCTTTTCTCAGGAGGAGCAAAGCAGTCCTGAATAACTCACATCAGGAAAGGAAGCAGACATTTATGACAAGTGCTTTCCAAATGCAAATCAGAGCTGTGCACTGCTGCACAAGTACAGGGGGATGCTCACCTAGCACGGAGATACCACCCCCTGGCTCATTAGTGTTCCTTATCCTGTCTAATTGCACATCATGGCTCAGGGCAATGGATGTTAGGTGATGGTTAGGCATGGAGAAAGTCAGAGATCTCCTGGTTGCTAAAGACAGGACAACTCAGCCTTCCCTTGTTTTATTTCATCAATGCTGAACTTAGAATCAGGCAGATGATCTTATTTTCTGGTGAGAGTGTGCTTTTGCTACAAGAAAATTGGATGTGATTGTTACTACTGGACCAAATTTTGCCCTGATTTATATAATCAGTGAAATCCCATTGACGTCAATGAAGTTGCCTGGATATAAGTAAAGGCAGACTTTGGCTGCAGTGCTCATGTCATTTGTGGTAATAAAAGGAATGTCCTAATTCTCCTAAAGAGTAATTGGAGACCAAGAGCATAATTACTTTAACAAGTGTTTCCACTGCTTCTTTACTTGAAAATCACACTAACTTTTTTTGTAGTTTTTAACCCCTTATTAATTTCTTTAAACTAACTCAGTTGCTGTTGTTATAGAAGATAAAAACAAGATTTTTTCAGATCCATTAGATTATGGGAATTTCAAGAGATTTATTTCTATGTCATCTTTATTTTCACTGACAATCTTCCAAGATCATCTTCACGATGTAATTTGTAACATACTGGTCTGGTACAGTTTTTCCAACAGCTCAAAATTACTAAAGAAAAACATGCAACTTGGAGATGTGTCTTCTTTGAAACTACTAGTCATTTTAAGTCATAAGACTATGATACATTCATGCTGTGAATAATATTTTTCTTGGCTTGACGGGCAGCTCTCTTTCAGACTGTCTAACAATGAATGGCGAGAGCCCTGTGGGAGGCGGCTGCCAAAGGAAGCACATTCAATACCTTCCAGAAGATGTTGCATCAGAGATAATGCAGCTCTTTTCACAGAACCGAGCAAACTCCCAGGTGCACTGGATGTTCCAAGTGCCTCGATGGTTTCTCAGAAAGATCTTACTGAAAATGCTGACAAAACCTCTTCCTAAAGAAATTGCCAGAGCAGAAGCAAAAGATATGGTGACGTGCATGTTTCACAACCAAGCAAACTCTGCCATAAAAAATGGCTTCAGCTGTTACATGCTTTTATACTGTAAGATTGTGTAAGATTACGCTTGCTTTTGTAAAGCATGGCAACTGAAAGTTCATGTATTTACAAAAGATGCAGCTCACTTGATATTTCCGTGTTCTGCTCATCAGCATGCCAAAATCTAGCCCTGGAAGAAAAGGCCACCTCACAGACTCAAGTGCAGTTGCAGATTTTCCCCTTTGCATTTTACTTTCATGCTTATAGCAGAAACAGTATGTGCTTCATCATGGAAGTGTGTCTGAAGGTCACTTTACAATCACTAGACTGCAAGGTCCTCTCATCAAAAGCAATTTGTTCCAGATTTGAGCTAGTCACCTTCAACAGAAAAATGCTGAAACTCTGCAAAGCTTCCTGCTCCTTCTGCTCAGACTAATTTAGCAGCACTCTACAGCCTCCATTTCCTGTGGCTCAGGATAGTACATGTGCCACATGACTCCAGAAAAGTTTGGTTAATACATCACCTCAGAGCAATGCAGTCTAGAGACACAGCAAAAGAGAAACAGTAGCTTTAGTAGTAAAACAAAAATAAAATAAATCTAAAATGTAAGATTACTTGTCTTGTTAGATACAACTCTTTTAGGAAAATAGCCAGCTGGTCCATTACTTCATAGCCTTAAAATTTCTCACACTCGAATCCTCCCTTACCATGCTCCTCAGATCAGCTGTGCTCATCTCCTGCTTTCCAGGAAGTGATACATTTTTAAATACAGATATACAAAATTGAATGTTTCAAATACATGTCCAATGTTTGTCTCTATGAAATAAATGCATCCATTCAACAATAAGCTTGAGGACAAAAAAAAAAACCAAAGCAAAACAACAACAACAACAACAAAAAAAACAAACCCAGAGTCAGGTACGGAAAGGGAAGACAGAAAGGAACCAGAATCAAGATGATTTTCTACTAAGAAAATCACGTGTTCCCAAAAGTATCATCAGAGCTAGACATCAAATTCAGGTGTCTTTTAATTTTTTCTGATTCTTAATGGAGTTCACTCAGTGAAAATGATGGAATTTGTGAAATGCAACACTAATGTGACAAGAGGAATCACCTCACCTGCAACCTTGACCTGGGTGGGTCTGCAAGATGGGCATGGCAGTACTTGGAACTCCTCCGCCTGGTACATGGAGTAGTCAGTGCTTGCAACCACAATCCTGTCTCCAGGCTCCCATGAGCTCACATCATCCACCAGATTCAGCACCGTGCTGTTCACGTTGGTGTCAATGGTTACTGTAAGCTTTGGTTTCACTGCAAAGCCAAAAGGAAGGGTGGAGGACTCAGTTAATCTTATCACAAAGTGCCAGTCTTTTTTTTTTTTTTTTTTTTTTTTGCCTGGAGCACCACCAAAAAAGATGATTTCCTCATTCAGTATAAAACAGTTAACTCTTCCAATCATGCTTGTTACTGGCTTAAGCTTGGAATGCAAGCAAACAAGAAAGTGTTTTTCTGCCAGATGTGTGCAGGTGGATTTTCCACTAATCCCATGGCTACAATTTGAAGTAGCATTGAGTGGCTCATTTTCACCCCACCCACTTACTAGTAGCTCTTCTGGGTACTGGGCACTGTTATTTACTGCAGCCAAATGGTCTTCAACATAATGATTGTTTTTTTTCCAACAAAACAACAGTATTCTATCCTCCTCTTCCCACCAGCTGAGCACTCAAGAATCCTAAAGACCTGTCCTGTGGCCAAGTTATGCACAGTGGTGTTGGAATTAACAACTATAAAACAAAGTATTTCTTTCAAAACCTGTTGTCTTTGCACACAGTGATTGACTAATCCTACCTCATCCTAAAATGCTTCGATTGAAACTCAAGATATTTACGGGAAGGAACTTGTCAAGTGTTTTCCATGGTGCTGCTTGGCTTTGGAGTCATACTCTGCTTTCTCTGGTAGGGCTCAGGAACTTTTCCTGAGGTAAATCTACAGCCGTTGTATCTATGTTCACATCAATACTTCATCCAAAATTTCATCTTGAGAAATTACTGTAGTTGTTCTTCCATTGAACAGGAGTCAGTCATTGGAAGGCAGTATTTCTGCTTTTCGTTGGTCTGGTTTATACCTATACCATCTACCTTAAGCCAAGCACTCAATGGAGAAGACTCTGTGCCTCTGGACATCTGAAACAAGAACACTAGGCAAAATTCAAGTTCCTCATATGGCTTTTCTTTCTCAGAGATAAACTACTTCTACCTTTGAAGAGCCAACCCAGAGGACAGAGAGCACAAGTGTCTGGCTTTCGAACATGGAGCACATACCAGAGCTGCCACACAGGAACCGCACTCTGTAGTTCTGGCAACCTTCACCTGTCTGGTCCTTGCCATGGCAAAGAAACCGATAGTCGTGGCCGTTCTTGTAGAAAACCTCAGTGGTTAAAATAGTTCCATCGAGGGTCTCTGCCTGGAATGAGAACAGAAATATAAAATTGGTGATACGTTCAGACACTGATGTCATCCTAAAAGGCTTTTGCTTTGAGTGATGCGCAACAGTTGTATAACAAAATGGGATGATTGGTATGTGTGCTATCCAGCTGGCACTCCAGCTGGTGCTTCAGAACAGCTATTGTATGTGCTGACTGTGTAGATTACTGCTAGTTGTATGTGTATCTCCTTTATCTATATTAAGACCATGTGCTTTCTTGGATAGGAGTATTCTGAACTTCACTAACATCTGGTCTTGGTGCCCTAGATTTTCTTTTGGTATTTGTTTGAGATCAGATGACAACACTGAACACAGATGCTTGTACCCAAATGAACTCATGCTCTCAAACCTCTTTGCTGCACTCATGTCATTGCTGGTGGCTCAGCTATACCTGAACTTTGCAGAAGAACAAGAGCAGGGACTTCTTCTTTCAATGAGTCAGTAATAATTGCTCTCAAAGGAAAAAATAAAAAATAGAGCTGTTCCAGTAACCTTGCTCGAAAAGGAACAAGAAGAGGAGGGCTTTTCTCACATACAGGTACCAGCCTGTAGGGTTGGCTTGAGGAAACAGCCGCATCATACAAAGAAGTGGAGGGATGTGTAGCCTCTCCTGTGCTCCTGCTGGGGCAAAGTGTCACCCCTCAGGTCACAGTCCAGCTCCATAGCTTGACCCTTTCACAAAAATGCAACTAATTGCATTGGACAATCCAAATAACACATGCATTTTAACAAGGCAGCAGGAGATAAATTATCTTTCAATGAAAGGGCCTGATCCTGATTAATTCATTCATGCAGACCTTCCTTACTAATGCAGCCACACTGCTGCTGCAGATAGGATTAACACCATCAGCTGAAGGAATGTGCCTCTGGCTGCACTGTGCTTCTGTTATTATCATTGTATCTTCACATTTTCACGTTCAGCACAGTTGAAGCAGGCCAGCTGGTATAAATCAGTGTAACTTTAGGAATGCGATAACAAATGCCAGGTTATGCTACCTGAAGAATTGCCCTAAAATCTGCAGAAGCTAAAAAAAAAATTGTTTTGCTTTTAATGTTCATGGGGGAAAAAAAAAAAGTATCTATAATTTAACAGAACAGAGGAAAAAAAGGTTGATTCTGGCACAGAAGAATACATTTCTTGTTTCTCTTTCAATACACAAGCTAAAAGCGCTGTATCATAACGAACATCTGACCTCTGCTCTGAAATAAGTTGTCACTTCTAATTCATGTATATGGAAGCTGAAATGAATGTGGATTTGCTAAGGTCTGGCAAAAAGTCATAGGGCATTTTTTTCCTTTCTTTTCAAAGGAGATTCTTTAGAACAAGCAGGCCTGGAAACTTAGAGTCATACTGTCAGCATTCCCATTTACTTCAATAACTGCATTTGTGTGAAATCCACCAGTGGATGCAGGAACCTCAGATTCAACTTCCCACAGGTATGGAGTATTTTACTGGCTTTTGATAGGCAAAGCTTCTCTGGTACTTGTTTTAACAGGTAGATGGGTAAAGCATATGGCTAACACTTGCCAAAAGAAAACAAAGGCGCTTTGTTTTGATCATTTTATTTTTGCTTGAATAGGCTTCTGCAGTATCAGAAAAGATACATTTTTTCACCTCAGCCACATGGATAATTTTAATTTTTAGCATAATTTTAATGTTTAGCTCCAAATAGAATTCAAATTTCTTTCCAGAGGAAAAATAACAAACCACCAGTTGACTCCAAAAAATGGCTAAGCTCATTGGTATTTTTCCCAACTACTACAGCTGGTTGCAATACCATCTCATTACATTCTGTGATTAATTTTTGAGGTAGGGTCCACTCCAGAATCATTTAAAAACTTTGAAATTTTCATGTCTTATTTTTTTCCTACAAGCTTCCAGCAGGGAACCACATATTTCACGATAGCATCTGTGCTGTCCCTGACCCCATCTGCACTCCTTTTCATGCCAGAGCCAGAATTTACTGAAAGGAGCTTAATTCTACAAGCATTTGTCTCAAAACAGGACTAGACAGAACTTGTTGGTTATATATTACAGCTGGAAAATAATCAGTGTCTTTTATTTAGAAACAAAAGTTACTGACAAGCACAATATTTTGGGGGCTCTCATCTCACGCTGCCTCTCTAAAGCAAAGAGGTAAGCTGGCCTACCTGGATGTCAATGGGCTGCCTACAGATTTTATCGGGGTGAGCAGCTTTGAAGTCAGAAAGCTTCTCCATGTCTTTAGATCTTGCTTTCTCGGGCTTCTCAAACCACTCTGTCCATTCTACATCTGGAGACAAGTGCAAACAAGAAGAGTCATTTGAAAGTCACGCCTAATGAATGCAGCAAAAACACATGAAGCATAATTTGATCTCAGATATCATTCACAAGTTTCTTCTCTGATGATCTGATTCCTGCCTCTTCCTGCCACTCTGTCAGCCGCTTGTAATGATGCTGTGAAGTGCAACCAGCCAAAGGAGAGCAGAGTTATTAAAAGCTGCATAATTGGAGTACGCAGTATGAGCATTATTAATAGTTATGGCTTTTGGATCCGGTCCTCCTTAGCTGTCTTTTTGGATTTTCAGATCAAGTTTCAGTTACTGTATGTTGTCTGAAACATGGACATGATGACTATGCAGTCAGAAGAAATAAGAGGCTGTGTGTGATATCTTAGATCATAAGAGATGGAATTTCATACCCAGAGCAACAGAGGAAAATGAATGCCAGTTATCCAGAGAGTCCTGGAGACAATTGAGGAAAGAATCTGTGCATGTTCTTTACTTGGGTTAGCAGCAACATAAATAGCAACTTGCAAGCCCACTCTTCCCAAATAGCTTTGCAATAAAAAGGATGGTTCACCCTATTTATCAACTCTACCACAGAGTTAAATAGCAAACTGACCTCTTACCTTGAACCCACTCACTAGTCGAAGAGACATTAAAGAGTTCTCCATTCTCAGCTTTGAATAGTTTGAATACTTTGGCCACAGCTGACCCTTTGTGACCTGTTTTTTAAAAATGGTAAAAATCAATGAATGCACTCAAAAAATGTCAAAACTGAAAAGGTAATTTTCCATGTGTATATATGCATAATTCGGGTTTATTATCCAGATTTAGCCTAGTATAACTTCCATTAAAAAGTTATTGAAACTTCAGGTGCTGGACAATCAGGAGGATTCAGCTTGCAACAAAGTTGTTTTATGGAGAGATTTTGAGGCTACCAATGCAGGACAAACTGATTAAATCTTCAGTTGGTGTGAACTGGGCTTGGTTCATAGCTTTTTGTCAAAGAGGGAGGCAGAGGCTGAGCTCAACTGAGTTACAAGGATTTACACTGGTACAGTGTAAAACTTTTATTTCATGGTTCAGATGACCGAGGTTATACCCCACGCTTTGATGCTTCAGCTGCATTAATTGAAAGCAGTAAAATATGAAGAGAGCATTCAATTAAATATCTCTAACCATCAATTGTTCTTAGCTTGATGTAAAGCAATGTCAAATGAGAACATCATTGACCAAGTTTAACTGCGAGTAACTTCCAAGACAGTATTTTGTGCATGAATTACCTTGATATTCAATGTGGTCTTCAACAGAAGAGGAGGGATTTCCTTTAACGGTGATAAAACTCCATGGATGCCTGGAAAATCAAAATGAGAAATGATCAAATTATGCCATGCACTTGGTGCTCATTTTTTATAGCTTAATGTTTTTACGTTTCCCAGCAGCTCCACGTTCAGAACAGTCTGATTGATGTGAAACGCAATTTGATTGAAATTAAAAATATCTTAAGATTTTGTATTTCTTCAGTAAATATACCACAAGATAAAGAAGCTCAAAGACAAATCCTTGCTCAATACAGTGCATTTCTCTTTTAAAATCTTTAAGGGGGCTTGTGTGTGACAGATGCATAGGACACCAGCAGCTCCTTGGGGAGACTGAAAATCTTTCTTTCTGTGTGTGCAACAGAGAATACAATTAAAAAAAAAAAAAAAAAAAAGCACAGTTCTGCTTAAATAAATTTAGCTGCTGAAACGTTGTATATCACAATTGTCTTTGGAATGACATATGAGAATTTCTAATAGAGTGGCTGGCAAAGGGCAATAAAAAAATACCTAGATAGTGTGTGGGTGTCCAGTTTCCTCATTTTTAACATTGAATGGAGACAAAGGTTTATGAGTCTGAATTGTCCATTCAAATCTGATCCTGTGTCAGAAATAAGTTCATTACTGCCTGATAGTTATTGGTTGAGTAGGTTCAATAGCTATCAGCAGTACTGGAAAATGAACACATGGCTGAGTAAGCAATGGAGACAGAGACTAAAGTACCTCCCAGTGCTGGAGATGAACCCAATTAGTGGGGGTCAAGAGGGAATTTCATCTCTGAAATAGAAGAAATTCTGGCATACCAGCTCTTAATGACTAACAGAATAATAAATATGCTTTTAGAGTGGTAGAGGGAGGCTCGCCCTTACCCTGGATTTAGCAAACAACCCCCAGATTAAATCATGTCTTTGTCAATGAAAATACCCAGAGGTTTCAATAGCATCAAGATGCACCCCTGAGTCTTACCGGTCACTTTACATTTACCACCTGCTGGCATAAGTGAAGTTACAAGCTGCTCTGGGACTTCAGAAGAAAACACAGACATTGACAGAAAGTCTCTACAGCGTGCTCAGATCCCTGCCAGCGCCAGCTGGGCTTTGCTGAGGGTCACAGCCCTGTGCTGCAGGGGAGCACTGGCCCACCCCCATGCCCTGCCACATCCCCACAGCAAGGCGTTCCGAATGGAAAGTCCTCAGCCCCAGCACAGGACAGGCTCGAGGGAAACGGCCAGCATAACAACCTGGGAGCCTGCCAGCCAGCCAGATGCCGGAAAACTTGCCTGTGCCAACTGCCAACGGCACTGTTGGGCTGTGATCTCCATCCAGGGAGAGGAGGGGGTGGAGAAAGGAAAGACACTTTATCACTCAGCAGGAAAGATAAGTCTTTTTTTTTTCTTTTTTTTTTTAAACCCGTGGTCACCAAATTCAAAGCAAATGGCAAAAAAAGATGAGGGTCCCACAATAATCTAATAATCCAAAATAATGATCTAAAGAAAAAAGAACCTAGCTAGTTCTGCAACTCAAAGTTTGGTTCCATTTCATGTGTTACAATACTTGTTTGTCTCAGTAAGTTTATCACATAAACAATCATGAAGTCTTTCAACCCTTACACATAGACACATGCAATCTGTTTGGGCTATACGAAATGAAGGGACCAGTAAGGCCAGAGCCAAACCAGTGTTATTTGGGTGGGGTTCCAAAGAGAACAATTGTGTCATCAAGCACTGAAAAGCCTTCTTTTAATTCATTAGTTGAAGAAATAAAAAAAACTCATGCTTAAAGAGCAAATTCACTTTTCAAAGGAACAGTAATAGAAGAAGAATCATAGAATTGGAATCATAGGGTTGGAAGGGACCTCTAGAGATCAAGTCCAAATTCCTGCAGTTCTCTACAGTAGGTTGAACAGAAAAGCATCCAGGTGGATCTTAAATATCTCCAGAGAAGGAGACTCCACCACTTCTCTTGGGCAGCCTGTTCCAGTGCTCTGTCACCCAAACAGTAATGAAGTTTATCCTCATGTTCATATGGATCTGCCTACGTGCCAGTTTGTGCCCGTTACCCTGTGTCTAGTCACTGCACACCACTGGAAAAGATTATGCTTGCATCCTAATGTTCTGGACTCAGCAAATAAGCAACTGAAACTCTGCCAGGAGCACAGAACCTTTTTTGCATAAATCAGCATTGCTCGTTGTCTCTTCTACAGCAATGGGGATTTGTATAACTTTATAATCTGGTTGAACATGGTGTAATTGGTGATAGGAATTTGTCCATGTAACTCCCTCCACCACCACCATGAGAAAACAGCCCAGCCTATGGCTCAATAGCCTGATTCATATGGCACCTCAGAAAATATGAAATAGAAATTATCTATCTCAAATTAGTAGCTGGGTTTGACACCATTTTTGTCTTAGTATTGCCCAAGGTCAATCCCAGCCATGAGAAGATCTGATAACACGGCGCTGGACTGGCCTGCAAACCCTGAATCCGAGCAGTGAGACATGCATGGGCATGCTAGAAATTAAAATCCATCCTCTTTCCTTCCTTAGAGCCTTCTTTTACCATATGGGTTGAAGTGTGTACAATTTTCTCATCCTGATTCTTTTTTAAGATTCTCCAAAAATTTCTGAAAAGCACCTGAACTTCAAGTATATACATCCCTAATAAGAGTATAGGTGTGTGGAAGGGAAACCAATAGGTCTAAATGTTGTCACGCTGAAGTAAAGCAGAAGTTCTATTTGCATAAGGAAAAAACCTGGATACATCCAACAAAATCGTGTGTCTTCCACCCTGCCATCTAATTGCCTCTGTAAATGTCACAGCAGCTGCCATTCAGACAATTTTTCACAGTTTTTGAACATAACCACTTAGAACAGCCCTAAAAATGCAATTTTTAAACTTTGCACCACAGTACAGATAGTTTTGCACATACCAGTATGCTGGTGAGAGACAGTATTTACCAACCCCTGCTACTTTGTGTTACCCACCGTGTCTGTTATTTACATAGGGAAATATTGTGGTATTAGAGATAACAGCATGACAATGATTAGCTTTCTGACTACATACAGCAGCAGTGCTGAAAGTCACACTTCAATACAAGAATTTCTATGTATTTCCTTTATAAGCATTTACAGCAAAGTGAGAAACTAGCATTAAAACACCACAGTGGCCTAAAAACATCAAGAACAACTTACTGTTATAAACATATGGGAACACCATCAATTTATTCCTGCTGCAGAATTGGGAAAGAAAGCATAATGTTCAAAAATCCTTTCCTGTATCCAAAATTTTGGTCTTTAAAAAGAAACCCATCAGGCTACTGGGCTTTAATGCGAGTTCTGAGTATATGAGAGATAGGGTTGGACTGATGGAGGTAGCTGTGCTTGGAGACTATTTCTGCAGCTTTGTGTCTCTGAAATGCACTGCCTGGTGCACACAAGTCCCTGTAGTATTTTATACAGCCTCTTTATTAACTGCCCCAAATGTTGCTCCATCTGCACATGCCAACTGACACTTGTGTGCTCCCATAGACTGCTCTTCAGAATCTTTTCTCCATGCAAGGCAGATACGTTTTTTCATGTTTTGCAGTGACCCCCTCAGTGACAGCACAGTCCACAGAGGAACACACACAGAACAACAAAAAGAGAAAAAAGTGCCTATATAAATTTAAATAAACACCAAAAATATAAATGTTACAGTTGGGTGAGTAGCAAAAAATCTCAGCAATGCATGTGCCAACACAGACACCATATTTGTCACAGAAGTATTTACAGTCCACAGCATAAATTCATGCATGCTAAATTTCTGTGCTGCCAACTCCTTAAATAAGTATTAGACAAGATGACAAATATACTGTATAGATACCTACATGCATTTAGCCAGGGTTACACTGCTATTATGCTACTCTCCTTAATGTTCAACCCATTCTATCCAATGTGTGTATGCAGATATGCTTCTTAAATCTTTGAGGGATGGCTTGAGAATAAATAGGAATGATTAACTTGTAGGAATAGTATCTTGGAAAAACATCATTTTAAATACGAATAAATATGCTTCTCCTCAGTTGCTAATAAAAATACCCAATATAGACAATGAGTGCATCTTGAACTATCTAATTAACTGCTAAAACCTCCTGTTGAAAAGTTTTCCTGTTCTTTTTTTTTTTTCATGTGAAAGAACTTTGTGCCTTTGAGAGAGTGGAATTATTTGGACATCTGAGAAGCATAATAAAACCTCTGTTCTGGGAGAACTGGCAGGACTGGCACATACCTAAACCCAAGGTGGAGGAAATGCTTGCTGCCCAGTTTGGTCATTGCTTTCCTGGCTGAGTCGTCCAAGTTTCTGGATCCCTCGTCGTTCACTGCTACTGACAGGATCATGCCATTCGCAACTCTGTCCAAATACTGGGCAAGACGTTTGCTTTCCTCTTTTGCTCGGTAGGTATCAAATCTAAAATGATAAAAAGATACAAAAAAAATTTACTTCAGTAAGATCACAGCTCTAAAGAGCATTACAGAATTAAATAAAAAGTGCTATAAAGAAATATCCCTTTTGTATTGTTTATAATAATGACATTATCCCGTTGCAAAATCGCTTCTCTGGAATGATACCTTACAGGTTTCTATTCAATCAAATTGATTAAGGTCCATTTGACACAATAGCTAGACAATAACACTCTGTTTGCTCTTTGGTTTTGGAGATGAGTGATCTAGAAAGAATTGTATACATGTGCAGTAGCACTCATTTGAAGTAGATGATAAAACATGCTTCTGATCTTGCTGAGAAGCTGTTCCAAACCTGTTTCCAGAGATTCTAGATAGCTGTGAAGACACTCACCTGTCTGAATGGACAACGGCCCCCATCTTTGGGTCAATCACATGGACAATGACACCCCGATGGCCCCAGCTCCTTTCAAAGTAATATCCGCCTTCTTCCATGCCACCAGGATGAAGAGTCTTGTTTAAGAAAGTCCAGGACAGCTTTTTCTTGCCATGGATCTCAAGAATGCCACCCTCACTCACACCAATGTACTTCCGCCCAAAGTAGGGATTGGGCTCGCTGCCGTCATCCGCTCTGCATCACAGAGGGAGGAAAAGATTATCTTATGATTTGCAGAGTAAAGAAGCCTCTGCCCTTCTTTTGTTATGTCCCAACAGAGAAGTGTCATGACTAGCAATGCATTTCCTTCAACAAACCCAAGAATCAGTAGCTGCTTACACTCTACAGTAAGTAAATGATTTGAAATGATTCTAGCAACTACAAAAGATCAGGAGCAATCTGGAACTCAAATTATATGTTACGCAGGACTAACAACACATTTTTTGAATTCCATAGGAAGTTAACGTAGCAAAAATTTGGTAGATCTTATTTGTTGTTAAATATGAGTTTGGCATCCTTGAAAATCAGAGAGATCCTGCACCAAGCTGCAAGGCATAAACATCTTATCCTTTGGCTCACCTACTTCTCATTCTCATGCAGAAATAAAAGATGCTGAAGGAGGAATTTCAGAATAAATTAAATCTTTAAGCTTTGAGCTTATTGAGGAAAATCCATTAATCAGCCCGAGTGGCTGCAATATACTTGCTGCTTTTTGGGCATGTCCAAGCACAGTAATGTGCATTCCCCAGTAAGATTTGAAATCAAAACCAAAACTGTGTCATATTATTAAAGACCATTTAAATTGTTTAATAAGCTACTGAGCTTTCCACAAAGCACAGGTCATAATGTATTCGACAAAATGCAACTTTAAAAAACATTTTGTTCCCTGTTGTGGAAGAGACATACTGGAAAGCTATGAGCTATTTCATTGTGCATACATACCTCCCGTATAAGATGATAACCACATTGCCTTGGTAAGGGCACATCTCACTGCCGATCCGTAACTCTCCATTATTTTCAATGAGTATATATCTAGTACGCAAAATGATAGGCTGTACATCGTCTTTAATGATCAGTTTTCCTATGTAGAAAGAGTTATGATATTTGCTTTAACACACAGCAGCTCACCAGAGGTCGTGACACCATTGTGCTACGCTCAGAGCTGGGGTCTCACCTGAAATTTTGAAAAATTCTGCCTTTCCTCCCCTAAAACAGCTCTCAGCAGAAATTCTGAAGATTTTACCTATTATTTACTCAGTTCAACTCTTGGAGAATACAAATAAGATTTATATGGAAGAGAACTCACTCAAAACTGAGACAGAAATTCAGAGTTAACATGAATAACAGCTATTTGTACTAGCAGTCAGCAGCAACACTATGCCTCTGTCCTTGGAGATAAAAAGGCACATATGTATCTGCCCAGTCCAGAGACCCTGAGAACATTGCATTATTTTATCAGTACAATAATACAACAAAAAAATGCTTTTGAAGCAAAACATGGAATTAATGAGTATACTGAGGTACTTTTGTAAATTCTCCAGAAAATATGACAAATAATTAATTATGATGGCTAGAGAACTGATAGCATCTCAGCTACCACCCACCCTTGTACCAAATTAGAGCCAGCTTTGTCCAGCAGCCAGCCAGTTCCCAGGAAGCAGTAGGAGCCTCTCCCAGCATGAGGCAGAGTGATTTAAACAGCTGAAGGGGAAAACACTCCTCACCCAGCATTGCCAACTTGAGGGCAGTGTGTTTTACCTCCATCCATGATGTGGATTGAGCGGACAGTTGCTGAAGATGAGAGGAGGAGCTTCCTGCCATTGCGGATTTCGATGTGGTTTTCTTCGTTGTGACCTGGGTTCCAGATTTCTAGCTCAGGATCCTTGTCAGGACATGCCACAGCTGCTTCTGCTGGATAAAAGTGAGGAGCAGTTACCTTGTTGTGTTAAGTGCAAGATAGAAAACTCTACATCTGGGCATCTATAAGCTCCGTTCTCAGCACCCCCCTTTGCTGCTTCCCTGGAACACAACGATAGCCCAGTGCAGCAGAGTACATGTGTCCTTACCTTACCATTTAAGCTGCATAGTTGTGTTTGGGTTTTTTTTGTTTTCTGGGAGTGTGCAAAAACATGCTATGCTGCAGAAAACTGCCAGAGAAAAGGCTGGAATTCTGACCTTCCTACAGTGACACTCTGTCTGTTCACACACATCTGGAAAAAAGTCTTTCACAGGCCCAGGGAAGAGGTTGATGAAAAATTAAAACAAGAATCGCTCCTAAAAGTGCCACCTGAGGCCTGAAAATCTTTGTTAAAAAAATATTGAGATATGTTTGCAAACTGTTTTTAGTGGTGATAGGAAGTAAAAGTGCTCAAACTCTCAACAAAGCACCACACACCTGAGAATTGCCAGTACATGCAGAAAGAGCAATAGGAATTCCACAAGAGAGACTCCAGCTTCATGAACTTCTTCAGACAGAAGCGATAAGGACTTTGAGTTCCCTCATCTCTGTGCATGGGTTTGGTTATAGATTGCAGTGACGTAATAGATAAACTGTGCTCATATCGAGTCCCAGAGACTCATGTTAAAAATATTTACTTAAGATAAAATATTTCCCTGATATAATCTCACCCAACATGTGACTTTCAAATCTTATTCTAATCGATAAAACTCACAAGTGCAGAAGTCCCATGTATCATGCATATTTTCTGAGGCTGTAAACCTTTCTAATCCTGGGAAACTGGGGTCAATGGAAGTTTGAACAATGAGCTTTTTGCAATCAGAAAGGCTTGGGAGCTCTGACCTGCTCTCCAATTCGTATCCTTTAAAACTAAACCACCATATGAAAAGTACAGAAGCCACAAATCAATGATGACAGATGTGGGATGCATCCCCTGCCTTCAGCAGAATTTTGGCTCTGTCACTCAGTAGAATTTTTTGTTTGTTTTTACCCCATGGAAAGTATTCTTTCAGTCAATGGCAAGGACTGAAAATGTGGATGCATGCAAGGAAACGTGCTGGTGCTGATGCCGTTGATGGAGGCTGTTGTGTGTTACCATTGTGAAACTCAACATACATCTGTAATTCCACACCAATAGAAACAAAATTATCCACCTGCATTCAGTTTCTTCTCAAATTCCTCTACTAGCTCCATATCTTAAGAAAACAAAAAAATTGGACCAATCACTGCCTTGATAACTCAATTAATATCAATTAAATACCAATATTAAAGGTGAGCAAGCAACATATGTCTTGGTTCTCTGAGTCAAATACTGATCAGCATCCAGGGCCTGATTTTGACACTACTTGTGCCAGCCAGAAACTGGAAGTGTATTGCATGTCAGCCACACTTTTTCTCACTTAAAAGGGTTGTTCTGGGTTCATTCTAGAAGACACACAGAATTATAGTTGAAAACAATAAATATTTCAGGCAGAAAATGGGACTTGCAAACAGATGCTCAGAGATGACTGTCATATACACTGACAATAAATTCATTTGCTAATGATGAGACAACAAATAAAACCAAAAGCAGTTGTTCATATGTAGAGTTGTAATTTATCAACTAGATTCCAGGAGGTATTTCCAGCTTCCCTTTCTCCTGCAACTGCTTATGCAATGGGCTGCTTGTAGGGAACAGAAACCAAGGGCATGGATACCTCAGCTTTTCGCTGACCACGTCTGTACTTGGACACTGCAGCAAAATCCTTGCCACCCGCAGCCACAGCTATGAGGACTTGAGTTTTTTTCTTTGCTATTTCTTTGTGATGGTTTGCTAGATTTTGATAATGCTTGGCAGAGCCGGAAGGCTTCCTGTGGGTACTTTCACCTGCTGAGAAATTTCACTCTTTGCCACTCCAGCTGCTTTAATTCTGGAATATTGGCAACTCAGAAAAACGCTTTTCTCCTGAGGTTTCACACCTTGTTCTTGGCTTTTCTTATAAGAAATTGGATTAAGGAGTGAAAAGTTGCTCAAAATACACCAATAATGTCGTTATTTAAAAACAGTGTTACAAACCGTGCCCTTTTTCCCTGTGACAGGAGAACTTACCTGTGCTTGCAGAAGACGCTACTAGAAGAAAAAAAACAAGGCTTTCAGCCAGATACTTGGAGGTAGGTAGAGCCATTCTTCACGATTTCTCTGGGTAGATACCTTGGATACCTGCAAAGACAGAATATGAAGAAAATGTGTCTCTATTGTTTTCTAACTCATGCAAAAATTATTCCGTGCACAAAGCAATGTCATATCCAGCTCTATGACATCCCACTTCCACTCCCATTCAGCTCAGTGACTAACACCTTCATGCTGCTTAGGAACCAATCCAAGCAGAGCAAGAAGCCAAGGGCAGCTTCTCACCTTTTGGTTTAGGATAAACCCACTTGGGAATCCAAATAGACACTCAGAAAGTAACCACTAAAAGTAACTAAAAAACGCCTTAGGAATGCAATATAAACACATAAAGCTTCAAGACTCTCTAGAGCTGAGTATTCACAAGTGCAAAAAAAGTAATGAAACACAATGGAGAAGGCATTTGCAGAGTGACAAGTCTGCGAGGAGGAACATCTTGGTGGGACCTTCTTTCCACCTCACTACTGACACAATTTTTGCAAGTGATTTTAGCACACCCCCAAGCTAAAATCATAGTGAAACTTTCAGACTGAAGCATGCAGTTTTTCAGATTTCTGATCCAACAAAACACTGTCTGTTTAATCTGCCAGCCTATAATTCTGTTGCAAAACCCAGGATTGCTTTTTGAAACCAGTCTACCTAATATTGTTTTATTTCTTCTGTAGGCAAACCCAGGCAAAAACAAACAAGTAGTGACAAAAAAGCCTAAGTTAAAATTAACATGATTCTCTCCGGCAGGCCTGAGCAATCGATTCTGCAACTCTTGGCAATGTACTGACACGTGTGGTCACACTGAGATATGAAGACCCACTGCTATAGATGTCCAGTGCTCTACTTAAAAGCAGTATTTAAAACTCATGCACAATCCGTGGAACTGTTAGGTTTTACCATGTAGGCCAACATTGGTAGAATGTTAAAATCTATTTGTAGCCATGCCACACCACAGTGACAAAATACGATAAATGTATTCATCACAAAGCTTAGACGCCAAAAAAGCAATCGAAAGAAACTCCAGGGTGCTCCAGTTTCTTCAGGACAATGAAAAAAAAAAAAAAAAAAAAAAAGCACGTGTTATTTTTTAGGTCACTTGTTAATGTAAAACAAACAAAAACATGTGAATAAGATATGCAAAAAACCGGAGTTTAGTCTGGAACAAATTTTACAGTGTAGATATGCAGAACATATGTCTGTGCTCTTCTCTTCCTAAAGGTGATGCAGCTTGAAGTACAGTGGTACATTCAAAACACATGTAATCCAGTGACTGTATTAAAAACAGCATTTGAACCAAATTTGTCAGGAAACATTCCAGCAGGAAAATGTTTGCTTATTTTGGTATAGTGTAATTGACAGCCATGTGCTTGGTCACAGCATAGACATGGCACAGTCTGTCAGGTGCTGAAATGCTGTTAGAGAGCAGTAGAAAAGAGGAATGCACTTAGTAACGCTATAACTTTAAATGATATACATTATCAGAGAGCAATAACATGGCCATGGAATTTGTGCCAGAACCAGGCTGCACGTGTCTGACATTTTAACAGCACTTACCATCAACATACGATAAGCCAGGGCTCTGTTAGAGGAGCACTGTTAGTGGTATGCCCAGAGTACAGCAGTCATCATGAAAACGTCAAGGTTTATTAGCGATTACTACACAGCTTAATCTGCAAATACAATCACTAAATTCTGCTTTAACGACAGAGGAAAGCTGAACGACGGGTCGGATGGATATTGCAGACAAACAGCGGTCCTTATGGTGCAGGCGCAGCTGCACAAAGCCAGATACCCTCTGGTAAGCTCCGGGTCATAAAAATCAGATGATATTCACAGAAATTAAAAAGAGACTGCATTTTTGACAGTGATGGCATGCATCTGCTTGCCTGTTGCTTTGTAGGAAGTAAAGAAATGGCTTGGCCCTGGCCCATTAAAAACTGCATGCCCTTAGGAGCGTCGCTGTTAGAAGAGGGCAATAGACCTCACTGTGCACAACGGCAACCTGTAGCAAACTTGTAGGAAAATAACAAATCTGACAGACTTCACCTTTTAGAAAGCCAAGAATGGCACTGTACTTACCACCAGGTTGTGCAAGATGGCCGTTGCTTTTATATCCCCACTGGCTCCCAGGGTGCTGCTTCCCTGATTACATCCATCCTCATCAAAGGAGAGCAAAACAAGCAATCACACACTGAAAATTCTTGTCATGTTTGGAGGCACCCGTTGTACACAAGGCTCCAATATTTTTCTACTGTCTGATCTGCTACAGCTCAAAGAGCACCCTGCTTATTTTGTGGCTGCAGCAGGGTGTTTGATTCAGCTTTCCGTGAGCCCAAGTTCATTGCAGTGTTAGTATTAACTGGCACTCAGGTTGGAAAGGCTGGGAGCTGAGAGGGCCAAGGAGAACAGCTTCTGTTGCGAGCGCTGACTCCTCTGATTCAGCTCTGACTAACGTGGTGTCAGTAAAGTGTGGTTTGGAGGACAATCATCTCAGGAATTTTCCGTCAAAAGCTCTCAGCTAAGCATCTTCCCCAGACACAAACAGCGACATGTTTGATTTTACTATGAGAGGAGGAAGGGGTAGTGACTCTTTCCATTAATGTCACCTGCTGGAGAGGGTTCAGGAGCAGCTCTCTGCTGCCAGCCAGCCGGTTCCATAGCTCGCTGCTCAGAGCCACGTGGGAACACAGCGGCTGCACTACATCGCACTTGAATGAGCGCCACGTCGCTGAGTTCAGCTCTGATGTAACCCACTCCGTCAACAAATCTCCCCTCGGATTTAGGCACTCTGAAAGCCTAAGGGCCATGTGAGCGTCCTGCTCAGTCTATCATCTCCAGTGTTTCTCAAACACCATCTGTGACACCTCTCTTGGGTGAGAAAAGCTCTTTCATCTGGCCATTAAAAGCTGCCTGGCAATGGCCAGTGGGACTCATATCCCTGGATCTGGCAAGGCAGATGCTCTGAAATGATTCCCAGCTGCTGGATCTTTCCAAATAGTGAACAATACCAGCAGACAATGCTAAAAGTAGATACAGGAAACCGTTAGTCCCCAGCTGGCTGCTACTGCAGGTGTCAGCAGCGACACTGTACTAGAAAGCACACTGTGTAGGCAGGAATCCCCATCCACATTGCTCCATGCAGTTTTAATGCTGGAAGCAACACAGAGCAGACAGCCCTGGGGGTAAAAAAGTACAAATGGTCCAAGGAATTTGGGTTGTTCCAGGCTTAGTGGTAGGGTCCTCTGGACACTCCAGTGCCCAGATGGTAGAGCTGAGCCCTCCAGGGTGGCCTCAGCACCTTGCACGGCCAGGGAACAACCAGCCAAGCCTCTGAACAGAATTTTAAGCAAGTAACTCCTGATACAGGGTATTTTAAGATGCTTTTTAAAACCAGCTTTTTAAAACCAGCATCTGCTAAAGAGGAGGCTCCTACCTGGTATGTCCAGCAGGGACATTAACCACACAAACACAGCAAGGATGGGAGATACACAGCAGATCCCTAATGTCCCCCAAAGAAGATATCAAATAGGAGCAAGAAATCTGCATGCACCCTGACTACTACAAGAGAGGCCACATACCAAGCAGGGATGTGGAGCCATACCCGGAGAAGTGTAAGGAAAGCTCACGTGAGCGTGGCTGTCCAAGTCACCTAGTAGCCCAGTGGGCAGCAGACTCTCTCCTTCCTGCTCTGGGCAGCCAGACCTGGGCCCTCAGCCTGCTGTAACCAGAATAAAGGAAATATGAGCTGATGCTGAGCTTTTCCTGGTTCATTGGCTAGGTCTGAAGAGCTGCTGCATATTTCCTCATCTAAATGCAAAGATGCCAACTTAAGTTTGGCAGCTGATTCTTCAGAAGGAGGAGCTGTTTAATTAGCGCCTCTGCTCCCTCCGTGCTGACACTGCACAGCAGCAGCTGTCCTCTCACCCTGATCAGGAAATTTTGCATTTTAACCCCAGCTGGGAAGACAGATTTTATGAGCGGGTTTGCCTTTCGAATCTGAGGACATGCCAGCTCTTGCTACAGTGACATTCCTGTACAAGGGGAGCCTTCACACATGAGCCACAAGCACAGCTAAAGCCTTCAGACAGCCTCACAAGTAAACAAACTCATTTCTAGGGATAACTAATGAAAATGCATTGCCAGGGCAGCACAGCTGCAAAGCTACTCCTGCCCTTCATCTTGATCTTGTGCTTGCCATCCAGCCATTAGCTGCTTGTTTTTGCTGGCAAGTACAGGAGGATGAAATGCAGCAACAAACCTTACTTTTCAATGAAATCAATACTTGAGTCAAAAGCATAACTCGCTTTTTTTCCCAATGAATCATTTTCTTATCAATTTATCCCACGTCATTCTGCTCAAATTTTCCATACATAAGTGTCACTTCAAATTCCTGATGTTCACGATGCTTCTGAAAGAGGAGCCGGAGTTAGAGGGAGTTTTTACAATGAATAAATTAAAGACAACTCAGACATTTGCAAATTTGTTGCAATATTGGCAAACTATTTTGAGGCAGAAATATGTGTGTATATATATTTATATTTTTTAAAACCTATGTGGTTTTTTTAATTATAAAAAAATTATTATTTTTTTTTTAGTATTGATCTCTTTTGCACAGGCTCACAGACCTTGAAAAGGAAAGGAAGAAATTTTTGGCTTAGCTAAAGCAAAATCATTTGCAATTCACAATGCTCCACCCTTCAGAGCCTCACTGACTTCCAGTCTTGCATCCTTTTAAATTGCTCAGCATTTCACTGAACCCTCATCCACATCACGAAGTTTTCAGACCATCCAGGTGGTGGGAAGCTGAGCCTTAGCTTCAGAGGCTCAGAATGCACTAACTTTACTGGGTAAAGTTCTTGGTGTACAGCCAAAACAATGCTTTCAGAAGGAGCTAAAGTGTACCCATTGCAAAAATGCTCTGGAAATAACAGGACAGGCGTATGTCCTGAATGCATTAGATGTACCGAACGTGCCTGCATTAGCTACAGGGCACTCGTAGTCCACATGCACTCCAGCATGTAGATGGAGACTTTCCTGCTCTG